CAGAGATGTTAGATCGGGTTCAAGTCCGGGCTCTGGCTGGGCCACTCAAGGACATTCAGATACAAAAAAAGAAAAAAAAGAAAAAAAAAGAGATGTTGAAATGTGCAAACATTTCTAAAAACCAGTTTTTGCTTTGTTGTTATGGTGTATTGTGTGTATCTTGATGAGAGAAAAAAACATTTTAATTGATTTTAGAATGATGCTAAAACATAACAAAATGTGGGAAAAGTCAAGGGGTCTGAATACTTTCCGAAGGCAGTGCCTTGCAAAAGTATTCATCCCCCTTGGCATTTTTCCTATTTTATTGCATTACAACCTTTAATGTAAATGGTTTGTATGTGTATGTCATATAATGGACATACACGAAATAGTCCAAATTGGTGAAGTGAAATGTAAAAAATAACTTATTTCAAAAAGTTCTAAAAAATAAATAACAGAAAAGGGGTGCGTACATATATATTCACCCCCTTTGCTATGAAGCCCCTAAATAAGATCTGGTGCAACCAATTACCTTCCGAAGTCACATAATGAGTTAAATAAAGTCCACCTGTGTGCAATCTAAGAGTCACATGATCTCAGTATATATACACCTGTTCTGAAAGGCCCCAGAGTCTGCAACACCACTAAGCAAGGGGCACCACCATCAAGTGGCACCATGAAGACCAAGGAGCTCTCCAAACAGGTCAGGGACAAAGTTGTGGAGAAGTACAGATCAGGGTTGGGTTATAAAAAAATATCAGAAACTTTCAACATCCCACAGAGCACCATTAAATCCATTATTAAAAAATGGAAAGAATATGGCACCACAACAAACCTGCCAAGAGAGGGCCGCCCTCCAAAACTCACGGACCAGGCAAGGAGGGCATTAATCAGAGAGGCAACAAAGAGACCAAAGATAACCCCGAAGGAGCTGCAAAGCTCCACATCAGAGATTGGAGTATCTGTCCATAGAACCACTTTAAGCCGTACACTCCACAGAGCTGGGCTTTACGGAAGAGTGGCCAGAAAAAAGCCATTGCTTAAAGAAAATAATTGTCACGATCGTTGGTTAGAGAGGACCAAGGCGCAGCGTGTTGAGCGAACATACTTTAATAGTAAAGTGCACACACGAATACAAAACAATAAACGATACGTAACGTCCTCAGACAATGACTGACAAGGAACAAAAACCCACAAACACAAGGTGAAAACAGACAGTATAAATATGGCTCCCAATCAGAGACAACGAGCCAACAGCTGACACTCGTTACCTCTGATTGGGAGTCACTCAACCAAACAAAGAAATACAACACATAGAACAACCCAACCAAACAGAACACCCCGAAACGAACACACCCTGGCTCAACATACAAAGTCCCGGAGCCAGAGCGTGACAGTACCCCCCCCTAAAGGCGCGGACTGCGACCGCGCCTCAATAAGGCTAAACAAGGGAGGGCTGGGTGGGCATACCTCCTCGGCGGTGGTTCTGGCTCCGGCCCTGATCCCCACCTCCTCTCCAACCCCCCAAAGTACCCCTGGTCCTGTCTAGCCCCGCTGGTCGGAGCCGGACTGACGACACGCGCCCCTGGCTTGGTGCGTGGAACAGGAACGGGCCTCACCGGACTGACGACTCCATTCCCTGGCTTGGTGCGAGTAGCAGGAACGAGCTGGACCAGGCTGACGACTCGCATCCCTGGTTTGGTGCGAGTAGCAGGAACGGGCTGGACCAGGCTGACGACTCGCACCCCTGGCTTGGTGCGAGTAGCAGGAACGGGTTGGACCAGGCTTGCGACTCGCACCCCTGGTTTGGTGCGAGTGGCAAGAACAGGCCGGGTCGGGCTAGCGACGCACACCGTAGGCTTTGTGCGTGGAGCAGGGACAGGCCGGGCTGGGCTGGCGACGCACACCGTAGGCTTTGTGCGTGGAGCAGGAACAGGCCGGGCTGGGCTGGCGACGCACACCGTAGGCTTTGTGCGTGGAGCAGGAACAGGCCGGGCTGGGCTGGCGACGCACACCGTAGGCTTTGTGCGTGGAGCAGGAACAGGCCGGGCTGGGCTGGCGACGCACACCGTAGGCTTTGTGCGTGGAGCAGGAACAGGCCGGGCTGGGCTGTCGACGCACACCACTGACTTGGTGGGAATGGCAGGAACAGGCCGGGCTGGGCTGTCGACGCACACCACTGACTTGGTGGGAATGACAGTAACAGGCCGGGCTGGGCTGTCGACGCACACCACTGACTTGGTGGGAATGGCAGGAACAGGCCGGGCTGGGCTGACGACGCGCACCACTGACTTGGTGGGAATGGCAGGAACAGGCCGGGCTGGGCTGACGACGCGCACCACTGCCTTGGTGGGAATGGCAGGAACAGGCCGGACCGTACTGGGGACACACACCACTGGCCCCACGCAGGGATCAGGAACGGGCCGGACCGGACTGGTAACACACCCCAGTACCTCTCGCCGTGCCTCCACACTTTCCCTCTCCTCTGTGCCCAGTGGCCCCCCTAACCTGGCGGCCTTCTCTGCCAACGCTTTGCACCGCTCTAACCCGTACACCTGCTGGCCCGACGTCGTGAGCCCCCCCCTAAAAATTTCCTGGGGGTCTCTCCTCCCCGTGGCCAAGGCCTCTCTCCCTCTTGCCAAACTCGCAATCATCTCCTCCCACGTCCATCCTCTCTCCTCGTCACGCTGCTTGATCCAGTCGAGGTTGCCACGGAGATCTGCCAGCGTTGGCTCCTGAATACGCTGCTTGGTCTGGTTAAGGTGTGTTTTTCTGTCACGATCGTTGGTTAGAGAGGACCAAGGCGCAGCGTGTTGAGCGAACATACTTTAATAGTAAAGTGCACACACGAATACAAAACAATAAACGATACGTAACGTCCTCAGACAATGACTGACAAGGAACAAAAACCCACAAACACAAGGTGAAAACAGACAGTATAAATATGGCTCCCAATCAGAGACAACGAGCCAACAGCTGACACTCGTTACCTCTGATTGGGAGTCACTCAACCAAACAAAGAAATACAACACATAGAACAACCCAACCAAACAGAACACCACGAAACGAACACACCCTGGCTCAACATACAAAGTCCCGGAGCCAGAGCGTGACAATAATAAGCAAACACGTTTGGTGTTCGCCAAAAGGCATGTGGGAGACTCCCCAAACATATGGAAGAAGGTACTCTGGTCAGATGAGACTAAAATTGAGCTTTTTGGCCATCAAGGAAAACGCTGTGTCTAGCGCAAACCCAACACCTCTCATCACCCTGAGAACACCATCCCCACAATGAAGCATGGTGGTGGCAGCATCATGCTCTGGGGATGTATTTCATCGGCAGGTACTGGGAAACTGGTCAGAATTGAAGGAATGGTGGATGGCGCTAAATACAGGGAAATTCTTGAGGGAAACCTGTTTCAGTCTTCCAGAGATTTGAGACTGGGATGGAGGTTCACCTTCCAGCAGGACAATGACCCTTAGCATACTGCTAAAGCAACACTGGAGTGGTTTAAGGGGAAACATTTAAATGTCTTGGATTGGCCTAGTCAAAGCCGAGACCTCAATCCAATTGAGAATCTGTGGTATGACTTAAAGATTGCTGTACACCAGTGGAACTCATCCAACTTGAAGGAGCTGGAGCAGTTTTGCTTTGAAGAAAGGGCAACAATCCCAGTGGCTAGATGTGCCAAGCTTATAGAGACATACCCCAAGAGACTTGCAGCTGTAATTGCTGCAAAGGTGGCTCTACAAAGTAGTGACTTTGGGGGGTGAATTGTTATGCACGCTCAAGTTTTCTGTTTTTCTTTTCTTATTTCTTGTTTGTTTCACAAAAAAAATTATTTTGCATCTTGAAAGTAGGCATGTTGTGTAAATCAAATGATACAAACCCTCAAAAAATCCATTTTAATTCCAGGTTGTAAGGCAACAAAATAGGAAGGGGGGTGAATACTTTCGCAAGCCACTGTACATTTATACTGACTATACACTCCCGCACAACCACTCACATACAAGCTGCTGCTACTGTGTTTATCTTATATCCTGTTGCCTAGTCACCTTACCCCTATACATATCTACCTCCATCACTCCAGTATCCCTGCACATTGTAAATATGGTATTGGAACTGACTTTTTAAAAATATTTCCTGTACATAGGATGATTACTTACTTACTTTCTTTACTGTGTATTTCGTATTTCTTATTCTTATTTCTCATGTTTGTTTCTATTAATACATTGTTATTGATTATTACATTGTTGGGTTTTGAGTTTGCAAGAAAGGCATTTCACTGTACTTGTGACATTAAAACTTGAAACTACCCCTACCACCTACCCACTTTGGTTTGCCCCAATGTTCTAAAACATCTGTGCCAGAGGGAATGCGGCTATACCATATATGTCTGGGAGGGGCATAAGAGGACAACCTCAAAGGAAAATAGCATTTTCGCAACAAACTGCTATAATAAAATGCTACAGAACTTTGACTCTGCCAAATTTCACTTTCACATGAAATCCAAAAGGGCACCCTAGAATTCTCTAAGTCCGTTGGTTAGAGCTTTGAGTTTCCACACGACCACACCGCAAAAAACTGCCAGTCTTCTCTACCTTGGCTAAAGCAGAAGCAGTGCCTGTGTAGATTGTGAGGTGTCCATACATCTTTCAGACAAGCACTGCCTGCTACAGTCACTCCCCCAAGCTCCAGGGCCATTGTTATCGTCAATGTTGGTATGTGTGCGTGAACATGTGACAGAGTGTGATGGTACACCACAGGTAAAGCAGCTAGCTCAACAGAAGCCCCCCCCTTTCGCTCTAAAATATTCCATCACTCCAAGTGAAGCCATAAAACTGACTCGATCCTGGCCAGTGTCCAAAATATTATCCCAACCTCTCTATGTTTTCTGGTGGTGGTGGGAGTGTCCATTTCCACATCCAGGGAGTTGGCGGTCGGTGAGGTGTTAGGGAGGTGCTCCTGATAGAGGGTGGTCTTCAGGGCAGGTACAGAGAATTACCCTTTCTTACAGAAGTCATATCTCCAGAAGATGCTTGGTAGGGACTAGACCTCTCTTCTTCCCACTGCTCAGCTTTAGGAAACCGTCCAGCTCTTCGTTCTTCCCCACACAGATCTGGGACTCTTTCACAGTCATTTGACCTCTGTCACGGTCACCATGGAAACCACCCGTGACCTTCCACACTCACTCACCTGGGCGCAATCTCTGTACAAAGTTGTCAGGGAAGAAACCCAGCTTGTCTTTGCTTTTTCCCTTCCACCAGTCCTCATTGGAGTCATCAGTTACTTGCACTCTATCGCCAGGTTGTAATTCCAGATCACTCTTCTCCTGTGGGATGAACTTGTACAGAGCCACATAGGTGTGTACGGAGTGGACGTCGATGCTCTTTGGAGTCTTCCTCCGAATCGGCCTTCTTGCTTTCAGGAGGCGTGAGAGTCTCAGTCTCTGGGACAAACTCCTCCTCAGCGATTGGTTGCGTTTCCAGTCCCTCCTCCACTCTCTCCACCTCATGAATGGGGGACTCAGTGATGCTTCCGAAGCTAGAGTGTCTCATCTGTTCCAGTGACATCCTGTAACGCAGGGCCTCATACACAGGGTCAATTCCCCCTTTACTTTACCAGATTCTTGCGATGGCAGAGCCTCCTTGACCACCCCTAACATATCGTTAGTCAGGAGAGGGGAGCTGAAGTTTTGTTTAAAGGCCCCAGTCTTTCCTGTACAGGGCTTTTGGGATAGCTCAGAGGAGCACCAGAGGTGGGCGCCCAGCTTACAAGCTTTACAGCGCAGACCCTGCTTGGAGTTTCCCTGGATCACGTGTTTGCATTGCTGGTAGCAGGTGGGCCGGCGGAAGATGTGCTTCTGGAAGCAGTGGGTCTTCACCGGCTGGGACTGGAGCTGGTCCTGGAGCTGAGCTTTGAGGTCAGGAAGAGGGAGGGACTGTGGGAGGGCGAGTTGGACAAAAGCGAGGGCTTGGGGCTGAGCGACGGGGAGAGGGAGGGTAGGCGCTCGCAGGTCAGGGGCGTCTCCCCGAAGGGGGAGGAGAGGGGGGTGGCGGAGGCTCGTGGATGATCCCTGAGGGTAGGCGGACTTCGCCGTTGCTGGTGCGCTGGAAGAAGTTGTCCATGCTCTTGCTGCGCATCACCGACTTCAAGGAGCGCTTTTTTCGCTGCAGCTTAGTCATCTAACAGACTCCTATTTTCAGGTCTCTCCAGAGATGTTAGATTGGGTTCAAGTCCGGGCTCTGGCTGGGCCACTCAAGGACATTCAGAGACTTGTCCAGAAGCCACTCCTGGGTTGTCTTGGCTGTGTGCTTAGGGTCGTTGTCCTGTTGGAAGGTGAACCTTCACCCCCAGTCTGAGGTCCTGAGCGCTCTGGAGCACGTTTTCATCAAGGATCTCTCTGTACTTTGCTCCGTTCATCTTTCACTCGATCCTGACTAGTCTCCCTGCCGCTGAAAAAACATCCCCACAGCATGATACTGCCACCACCATGCTTCACCGTAGGGATGGTGCCAGGTTTCCTCCAGACGTGACGCTTGGCATTCAGCCAAAGAGTTCAATCTTGGTTTCATCAGACCAGAGTGTCTTGTTTCTCATGGTCTGAGAGTCCTTTAGGTGCCTTTTGGCAAACTCCAAGCGGGCTATCATGTGCCTTTTACTGAGGAATGGCTTCCGTCTGCCACTCCTCAGTGCTGCAGAGATGGTTGTCCTTCTGGAAGGTTCTCCCATCTCCACAGAGGAACTCTGGAGCTCTGTCAGAGTGACCATTGGGTTCTTGGTCATCTCCCTGACCAAGACCATCCTCCTCAGTGAATTTCATAAAAATTAAACACATTTTAGATAAAACTATACAAAATGTAATCACATGTCACCAAATAACTGATTAAAACACACTATTTTGCGAAGAACGTCTACAGTAGCCTCAACAGCACTCTATAGGGTAGCACCATGGTGTAGCCGGAGGACAGCTAGCTTCCGTTCTGCTCTGGATACATTGACTTCAATACAAAACCTTGGAGGCTCATGGTTCTCACACCCTTCCATGGACTTACACAGTAATTATGACAACTTCCGGAGGACATCCTCAAGCCTATCAGAGCTCTTGCAGCATGAACTGACATGTTGTCCACCCAATGAAAGGATCAGAGAATTGATCTAGTACTGAAAGCATAATCTACAGCTAGCTAGCACTGCAGTGTATAAAATGTGGTGAGTAGTTGACTCAAAGAGAGATGAAGACAAATTAATTTATTCCATAATGAAGGAGAAGCAAGAGAGAGATTTCATATTTTTATTTTCTCTTTCAGTTTCACTTACTTAGCTAGCAAATGCAGCTATCGAGTTTAGCCTACTGAAACACCCTGCTCAAACGGAGGGATGCTATGTTAGCTAGCTGGCTATGACTTTCCAACACAACACTGGAACTTTTCCAAGTCATGGTAAGCTTTTGGTATTACTAATTTATTGCCACCGGGGCCCACCGGTGTAACTGCTTACTGACTTTACACTAACGTTACTGCATGATTGTAGCGGGTTTACTAACGTGTTAGTTCTATTAGCTATGCTGACTATGACGTTACTTTACGATGTAGGCTGTGTGTATCGGTTTGACTTGGAACGTTTTTTTCGCCTGGTCACATACAGCTGATGTGTTGTGTACTGAAGTCCACAAGGGAAGAGAAGGAATACAACGTGGGTGTATGTAAACAGAAGCAAACGGAACAAAACAGGGATAAACATACTGTTGGACTAGTGATTACACCATATATCAGCTAGATGCAGGCAAGAGTGTGCAAGGCGGTATTGAATGTCACTCTGTCACCTCAAATTTGTCTCTCGACCTGTGTGCACCTACGTTGTAAACTTTAATTCATAGGCTAGGTTGTAGCAACCTCATGATGGGTATAGGGAAAATTGATTAATGCTCTGATCCTTTGATTGGGTGGACAACATGTCAGTTCATGCTACAAGAGCTCTGATAGGCTGGAGGACATCCTCCGGAAGTTGTCATAATTACTGTGAAAGTCTATAGAAGGGGGTGAGAACCATGAGCCTCCTAGGTTTTGTATTGAAGTCAATGTACCCAGAGGAGGACGGAAGCTAGCTGTCCTCCGGCTACACAATGGTGCTACCCTACAAATTGCTGTTGAGGCTACTGTAGACATCCTTTGCAAAATAGTGTGTTTAAATCAGTTATTTGGTGACGTGATTATATGTAGTATAGTTTTATCTAAAAATGATAACTTTTTAAATGTTAGGCCTGTGTTTTAACTCAGCCACCCACATTTACTTGAAGAACAGTACAGATGCAACATTTGGTGATAGAATGACAGTTTGTGCTGTTTGTGCCGTAATTCTGTTACCAAACTTTGCATCTGCACTGTTCTTCAAGTAAATGTGTTTTTGGAAAATATCCTGTGGAAATTGTTAAATGTCATCCTTGTGCATAGAGTTGTATGGTTTGTTTAACTTTGCAATCATTGGTTTTGGTTTGACATACATTTTAAAGTGAAAAATTCTGTTACCGCGGAATTGCCCATGACATAGATAATTTCCTCTGTGTGACATACACCACGCCCTGGGAGTGACATAGACCACACCTTGGGGGGATATATAGACCATACCCTCAGGGTTAGAATTTACATACATCGCGCTCCCTGGGGATGGCATATATCACACCCTCAGAAGCCAAAGTGATTGCGATGAATGACCTGGTGAAACGACTCCGACCATGTATTTCACTAACATTCTGTCTTGTTTCCCCTCTTGTCTCCTTCTACAGGAAGCCGTGGTGAGAGACAGTAACGTACCCTAGAAAAAGCCCAATCCCTGGCCGCCACGCCATGGCCCCTCGCAAGCGTCCAGGGCGGGGCCTCTTCGATATTTTCTGCTGTTTTAAAGGGAGTGATCACCCGGAGATCACCTACCGCCTTCGCCATGACAGTAACTTCATCCTACAGACCATGGAGCCCTCCCTGCCCATGCCGCATGAAGAGGAGCTGGATGCCATGTTCTCTGAGCTGGTTGTACGTACTGTCCCTGGGCTGGGCCCAATGCCATGCTGAACTGCTGTCTGTCTCTCTCTCTGTCTCTCTCTCTCACTCTACTCTGCCTCTCTCTCTCGCTCTACTCTGCTCTCCACACGCAAGGTAGCAGACGAGCTAGATAGCTAGCGCGATATCTTAGGTCTCAGATCTAGTAATATCAATCTAGATCATCGTCGATCTCTGTATCTCTATTGATCGGGCTCTCGAGCTCTGATACTATCTCTCGCATCTCTCTTCTCGAGAGATAGAGTCTCTCTCTCTTCTCTCTCTTCTTTCTCTCTCTCTCTCTCTCTCTCTCTCTCTCTCTCTCTCTCTCTCACCAATTAAAGGGATAGTTCGGGATTTTGGCAATGAGGCCGTTTGTCTAGTTAGCATTGGCTCGAGAAACTACCTCTAACGCTCTTCATACTGGACACAGAGACATACAAATGGTATCTACGAGATCATCTGACTCTGGGGAAGCAGCTCTTAAAGTATCCATTTAAGAGCTGCTGGTTGGTAGTTGGTTCAGGTCTACAGTATAGATGACTGAAGGGATCTTGCCATTTATGGCTTTAATTTATTACATGATTACAGTCGGATCAAAATCTTTCAGGACTGTGAAATATTTAACTAGCTTAATCATATGTGGGGGATACGTGGATTGCTGCCATGTTTGAAGGCATAGCGGCCAGATCTGCACTTGCTTTTCTTCAACTCTGTTTTCAGGGCCTGGCTGTGTGACTCGGAATCATAAATACTCACTAAGGGAGGGGCTCGCTTTTGATATATTTCCTCTGAAATACTTTATGTTAGCTTGTTTCCAGCATAATCAATGCTTATTGACAGCAATATAAAGACATTTTACTACTAGCTTGAGTACACTAAAAAGGATGAAGCCTGCTCCCTGCAAATACATTTTACATTTACATTTTAGTCATTTAGCAGACGCTCTTATCCAGAGCGACAATTAGTGCATTCATTTTAAGATAGCTTGGTGAGACAACCTCAATAAAGTACACTACCAGTCAAAAGTTTGGACACACCTACTCATTCAAGTTTTTTTTTTTTTTTTTAACTATTTTTCATATTGTAGAATAATAGTGAAGAAATCAAAACTATGAAATAACACATATGGAATCATGTAGTAACCAAAAAAGTGTTAAACAAAACATATAAATATATTTTATATTTGAGATTCTTCAAATAGCCACCCTTTGCCTTGATGACAGCTTTGCACACTCTTGGCATTCTCTCAACCAGCTTCATGAGGTAGTCACCTGGAATGCATTTCAATTAACAGGTGTGCCTTCTTAAAAGTTAATTTATGGAATTTCTTTCCTTCTTAATGCGTTTGAGCCAATCAGTTGTGTTGTGACAAGGTATACAGAGATAGCCATATATGATAAAAGACCAAGTCCATATTATGGCAAGAACAGCTCAAACAAGCAAAGAGAAATGACAGTCCATCATTACTTTAAGACATGAAGGTCAGTCAATACGGAAAATGTCAAGAACTTTGAAAGTTTCTTCAAGTGCAGTCGCAAAAACCATCAAGCGCTATGATGAAACTGGCTCTCATGAGGACCGCCACAGGAAAGGAAGACCCAGAGTTACCTCTGCTGCAGAGGATAAGTTCATTAGAGTTACCAGCCTCAGAAATTGCAGCCCAAATAAATGCTTCACAGAGTTCAAGTAACAGACACATCTCAACATCAACTGTTCAGAGGGGACTGTATGAATCAGGCCTTCATGGTTGAATTACTGCAAAGAAACCACTACTAAAGGACACCAATAAGAAGAAGAAACTTGCTTGGGCCAAGAAACACGAGCAATGGACATTAGACTGGTGGAAATGTGTCCTTTGGTCTGGAGTCCAAATGTGAGATTTTTGGTTCCAACCGCCGTGTCTTTGTGAAACGTGGTGTGGGTGAACGGATGATCTCCACATGTGTAGTTTCCACCGTAAAGCATGGAGGAGGAGGTGTTATGGTGGGGGGTGCTTTGCTGGTGACACTGTCTGTGATTTATTTAGAATTCAAGGCACACTTAATCAGCACGGCTACCACAGCATTCTGCAGCGATACGCCATCCCATCTGGTTTGGGCTTAGTGGGACTATCATTTGTTTTTCAACAGGACAATGACCCAACACACCTCCAGGCTGTGTAAGGGCTATTTTACCAAGAAGGAGAGTGATGGAGTGCTGCATCAGATGACGTGCTGCATCAGATGACGTGGCCTCCACAATCCCCCGACCTCAACCCAATTGAGATGGTTTGGGATGAGTTGGACTGCAGAGGAGCCAAGTGACTTGGTGTATATAGAAAAGAGGAGAGGGCCTAGAACCGAGTCCAGTAGTGAGAGCATGTGAGAGCATGTGGTGCAGACTCAGATCCTCTCCACATCACCTGGTAGGAGCGACCTGCCAGGTAGGATGCAATCCAAGAGTGTGCAGCGCCTGAGATGCCCAGCACTGAGAGGGTGGAGAAGAGGATCTAATGGTTCACAGTGTCAAAGGCAGCGGATAAATCTAGGAGGATGAAAACAGAGGAGAGAGAGTCAGCTTTGGCAGAGCGTAGAGCCTCTGTGACACAGAGGAGAGCAGTCTCAGTTGAGTGAGCCGTCTTGAAGCCTGACTAGTTAGGGTCAAGAAGATAGTTCTGAGAGAGATAGCAAGAGAGTTGGTCATAGACAGCACGATCAAGTGTTTTTGAAAGAAAAGAAAGAAGGGCTAACGGTCTAGTTTTTGACGTTTGTTTCTTGAGGAAGGGAGCAACTCTGGCCGTCTTGAAGTCCGAGAGGACGCAACCAGTAGTTAGGGATGAGTTGATGAGGGGAAGTGAGGAATGGGAGGTCTCCAGAGATGGTCTGGAGAAGGGAGGAGGGGAAGGGGTTTAGTGGGCAGGTTGCCAGGCGGCTGGACATCACTAGTTGCAGGATTCCATCTGGAGAGAGAGGGGAGAAAGAGGTCAAGGTATAGGGTAGTTCTGTGAGAGTGGGACCAGTGGAGTCATTAGGCTGAGTGAATGAGGAACCGATATCGTCAATCTTCTTTACAAAATGGTTGACAGAGTCGTCCACGGAGAGGTAGGAGGGAGGGGAGGAGGTGGTGGAACATTAAGGAGGGAGGAGAAGGTGGAGAAAAGTTTCCTAGGGTTAGAGGCAGAAGCTTGAAATATAGAGTGATAGAAAGCGGCTTTAATAGCGGATACAGAGGAAGAGAAGGTAGAGAGAAGGGATAGGTCCTCCGGAACTTTAGTTTTTCTCCATTTCCGCTCAGCTGCCCGCAGCCCTATTCTGTAAGCTCGCAGTGAGTCATTCAGCCACGGAGCAGGAGGTGATGGCTGAGCCGGCCAAGAGGAAAGGGGACAGTGAGAGTCATAGGATGCGGAAAGGGAGGAGAGTAGGGTCGATAAGGCAGAATCAGGAGACAGGAGAGAGAAGGATTTAGCAGAAGGTAGAGATGATAGGATAGAAGAGGAGAGAGTAGTGGGAGAGAGACAGATAAGATTGTGATGGCTGAGTGGGTAGGGTTGGAGGAGAGAGGGAGAGAAAAGTAGTGATCAGAGACTATATAGTATTTCAGATGAAGGAAACTTCAGAAAACTCACGAGGCCCATGGCTTCCTCTTTGTATGGTCATCACAGGGTTAACAAAGGCCCAGTGCTCATGCCACTATAGGGATAGAGAATAGCTTCTTCCTAGTGCTCATCCTAATAATCCCAAGCTCTCTGTGATCCCCTTGTTACTCTCACTAGGGTTAGCTGCCTTGAGTGAGACAATACAGCTCATCCTCATTTAGCTCTGAAGACTCCATTGAGCAGGGGGCCAGTGAGCGTCTGTGCAGGCTGGGGCCACCAGCTCATGACGGTGCCTGTCCCTGTCCCTCCCCAGCAGCAGCAGCCAGCGGCACGGTCGGGCCCCTCGACTTGCAGGACTGCACAAGCTACGCCGGGTCCGTCGTTCCTGGCACTGGCCAAACAAGCCTCCTGCAGAGAATCCATCTGCAGCCATTGTGTCCTGATTGGACCTCTCACAATGGGCCAAAACAGAGATGTCAAACAGTATCAGCCTAAACTCTAGCCTGGTAAACACCCTGGCTCTATGTCTCAGGATGAGGGAAATATGGCTTGGGTCATGTTCAGTAGGCACGAAACGGAAGAAAACTGTCAGAAACGGGGAGGTGCCTTAATAGAAGAGGGGATATTGCCAACCATCCACTTAGTTCATATTTGAAAGAAGAAGAGTAATACAGGATACATAGAGAGACATGTGTTTGTTATTTTCTTTGAAGTTATTTATATTGCTTCAAAGGTTAGCTGCAAAATGATTTAGGAAGCTCTCTAGTTATCTATAAGTTATTTCAGTCCTCCATTCCTTCCGTCCGTCCAGTGGTGTAGTGGTGCCTGGAGAAGTGGGTATACTCAAATTTTGCAAGCAAAGGAAAGACATCCTGCGTGAAAAACTATTTGCGAAACAGTGACATACACTCTGAATGACCTAAAATGATAAATCCCATATTGGTCTTTCACAGTCAAGCCAACCCAAGCTGTACTGTGCAAGTATGCTAATAGTAGTCAACTGAATCAGAAATTCAGATCTTTCCAAAATAAATCAGGTTTTCGCTCTAAATCACACTTTGTTAATAGAAAAACAACAAAATTGGATGTTCTAAGTCTATAACAATGCTTAAACCACATCAGGTGACCACTTCTATTTTTGAGAGTAGTTACTGTTTTAATTCAAGTGTAAAGGCACTTTGCATTGTGGTATGGTTAGCGGCATTTCTGTAGCACATGAGATGGAGTTTGCAAAACAAATGGCCACTGGATTGATGCAAATTCTGACAGGTTGGCATAAGCTTCTTTGTAACTAGTTAACATTTAATTGAGAAGGTTTTTGGGAAGCCTTTCTATCTACCAGAAGACGGTTAGGCCTATCATTGCCATCTCTATATCTTTCCTGTTCCTTAATTGTTTGAAACTTGGACATTTTACTTCATATTAGGATGCATGTCTTGTCTTGCTTCAAAGTAGCCTATAGCCAATATCCCACCATAGAAAGGTGGAGACAATTATTTTATAAAGACTTCCTCATTATTTTGTAAAGACTTCTCCTGTTTTTCAACTTTCTTTAATTGTCTAGCAGCCGAAGGCATTATCCTAGTCATATTAGCAACCCATGATAGTTGATGCATCTTTAGATCTCCCCTCTTTCAACATTTCTAACAGATATTTCCATCCCTGTCCATGAAACCGCTCACATAAGCAATGCAAATTTTAGAACAGTGTTTTCCTGCAAATTGCATTTTGGAACATTCGCACATAGGCCTACCACAGCTTGCACAGTGCTGCGCCTAAAATGTGAAGAAAAATAGTTGTAAGCTAAACATTCTGATCGGTTCCCTCAACCGTATTAATTGATATGGCGTACACATCCACTGCACTACTTTGATACGCATCGTGGGGATTATTTGTAACATAATTTCCTATGACTGAAAACAGCATCTGGAGATCAGAACAGCGATCACTAACCGGTTTCTACTTCAACAAGTCGGCAGTTCTGGACGTTCTGCTTACTCCGGCACAAGGCCTTAATCCCTGGGACTCAAAAGTGGATGCGATGGCGCAAAAGAGGCAGATGAGCCGGCATCCAGACCAAACTACGTTGACAAGCAAATAAACCGCCTCTAGGTACAGTCACTAGAGAACAAACTGGACGAGCTCCGTTTGATACTATCCTACCAACAGGACCTGAAGAACTGTAATATTCTGTTTCACAGAGTCGTGGCTGAACAAGGAGATGGATAATATACAGTACATCTTGTTGGCTTTTCCATACATCATCAAGACCGGTCGGCAGCCTCGGGTAAGATGAGGGAGGGAGTGGTGTGTCTATTTGTTAACAGCTGGTGCGCGATCTCTAATGTTAAACCTGGAGAAGTGTCCCATGTCTTATTTAAAATAAAATAAATGTATTTAACCTTTATTTAACCAGGTAGGCCAGTTGAGAACAAGTTCTCATTTACAACTGCGACCTGGCCAAGATAAAGCAAAGCAGTGCGATAAAAACAACAACAACAACACAGAGTTACATATGGGATAAACAAAACGTACAGTCAATAACACAATAGAAAAATTGAAAATCTATATACAGTGTGTGCAAAGGTAGTACGTTATGGAGGTAGGGCAAGTACAGTTCACAATGGTGGGTAGTATATGGGGCTTTGGTGACAAAACGGATGGCACTGTGATAGACTACATCCAATTTGCTGAGTAGAGTGTTGGAGGCTATTTTGGAAATGACATCGCCGAAGTCAAGGATCGGTAGGATAGTCAGTTTTACGAGGGCATGTTTGGCAGCATGAGTGAAGGAAGCTTTGTTGCGAAATAAGAAGCCGATTCTAGATTTAACTTTGGATTGGAGATGCTTAATGTGAGTCTGGAAGGAGAGTTTACGGTCTAACCAGACACCTAGGTATTTGTAGTTGTCCACATATTCTAAGTCAGACCCGCCGAGAGTAGTGATTCTAGTCGGGCGGGAGGGTGCAAGCAGCGTTCGATTGAAGAGCATGCATTTAGTTTTACTAGCGTTTAAGAGCAATTGGAGCCATGGGTTACAGGCAACATCCTCACTGATCTAAAGGCTAGAGCTGCCACTTTCAAGGAGTGGGACACTAATCTGGAATGTTTATAAGAAATCCAGCTACGACCTCTGACAAGCCATCAAACAGGCAATGCGTCAATACAAGACTAAGATCGAATCCTACTACGCCGGCGCTGACGGTCGTCGAATATGGCAAGGCTTGCAAACTATCATGGATTACAAAGGGAAACCGAGCCGCGAACTGCCCAGTGACGCGAGGCTACCAGACGTGCTAAATGCCTTCTATGCTAGCTTTGACACAAGCAACAATGAACCATTCATGAGAGCACCAGCAGTTCCGGACAACTGTGTGATCACGCTCTCCGTAGCCATTGTGTTTCAAGTAGACCACCCAAGAACGCCAAGGTAACCTGTCTAAATTACTATTGCCCCGTAGCACTCACATCTGTAGCCTTGAAATGCTTTGAAAAGCTGGTAATGGGTCACATCAACACCATCATCCTAGACGCCCTGGACCCACTCCAATTCGCATACCGCCCCAACAGATCCACAGATGACGCAATCTTTATTGCACTCCACACTGCCCTCTCCCATGTGTACAAAAAGAACACCTATTTGAGAATGCCGATCATTGACTACAGCTCATCGTTCATCACCATAGTGCCCTCGAAGCTCATCACTAAGCCCTGGTCCCTGGGACTGAACACTTCCATCTGCAACTGGATCCTGGACTTCCTGACCGGCCACCCCCAGGTGGTGAAGGTAGACAACAACATATCCACCACACTGACCATCAACACGGGGGCTCCTCAGGGCTGCATGCTTAATCCCTTCTTGTACTCCCAGTTCAACCAGAACTGTGTGGCCGCGCACGACTCAAACACCATCATTAAGTTTGCTGACGACACAGGACGGTGGTAGACCTGATCACCGACGATGATGAGACAGCCTATATGGAGGAGGTCAGTGACCTGGCAGTGTGGTGCCAGGACAACAACCTCTCCCTCAATGTCAGCAAGACAAAGGAGCTGAACGTGGACTACAAGAAACGGAGGGCCGAGCACGCCCCCATCCATATTGACGGGGCTGTAGTGGAATGGGTCGAGAACTTCAAGTTCCTCTGTGTCAACAACAACTAAGGAATTAACACACACACCAACACAGTCGTGAAGAAGGCATGACAACGCCTCTTCCCCCTAAGGAGGCTGAAAAGATTTGGCATGGGACCTCAAATCCTCAAAAAGTTCTACAGCTGCGCCATTGAGAGCATCTTGAGTGGCTGCATCACCGCTTGGTATGGCAACTGCTTGGCATCAGACAGCAAGGCGCTACAGAGGGTAGTGCGTATGGCCCAGTACATCACTGGGGCTGAGCTTCCTGCCATCCAAGACCTTTATACCAGCCGGTGTCAGAGGAAGGCCCAAACAATTGTCAGACTCCAGCCACCCAAGTCAAAGACTGTTCTCTCTGCTACCTCACGGCAAGTGATACCGATGCACCAAGTCTGGAACTAACAGGACCCAGAACAGCTTCTACCCCCAAGCCATAAGACTGCTAAATAGTTAGTCCGGGTAGCTATTTAGTTAACTATTTAACTATCTGCATTGACCCTTTTTGATTCATTACATACACTGCTGCTACTGTTTATTATGTATCCTGTTGCCAAGTCACTTTACCCCTATCTATATGTGCATTCTGTATCTACCTCAATTACCTCGTACCCTGCACATTGACTCGGTACTGGTGCCCCGTGTATATATCCAAGTTATCATTAGTCAGTTTATTTATCTCTCGTGTTATTATTTTTCTCTGCATTGCTGGGACGGGCCATAAGCATTTCCCTGTTAGTCTGCCTGTTGTTTACGAAGCATGTGACAAATAAAATGTGATTTGATCCAGTCCAGACAGGAATTCTGATGCGTTATGGGTGTTGTCATAGAAATGGGGTGTTGTCAGGTCACTCGTAATGTAATAATCCTTTGATATCCCACTTGGCAGCCATCCTGTCCTGTCTGGAATCTGTCCAATGCAATTCTATGGGATGTCAATAATTATGTGATATTGCAGGGACAATGGATGTTTGGCTGTAAGTGGTCATGATTGGTGACAGACATACAGAGAGAGCAGACAGTGGATCAATGATGCTGCAGGCTGGTTTAGATGTTGGGAACAGCAGACACATATGGATGGGGCATACACACACACGCACACGCACGCACACACACGCAGACACAGAGCATTCATAGCTATCCTGTATGGCTCAGTTGATAGAGCATGGCACTTGCAAAGCCAGGATTGCGGGTTTGTTTCCTGGGGCTGGCCACCCATACGTAAAATATTTGCACACATGACTGTAAGTCGCTTCGCATAAAAGCATCTGCTAAATGGAGAATATATACACTACCGGTCAAAAGTCTTAGAACACCTACTCATTCAAGGGTTTTTCTTTATTTTTACTATTTTCTACATTGTAGAATAATAGTGAAGACATCAAAACTATGAAATAACTAATCTAATTTCCACGCAGGGAAATACAACAGCTCACAGCAGTATATAACACCAAACAAGGAACAATCACGCACAACACCATGAGGGAACCAGAGGGTTAAATAGGGAAACAAATTAACGTGATGGGAACCAGGTGTGTACAATACAGACAAAACAAATGGAAAACAGAAATGTAGATCGATGGCAGCTAGAAAGCCGGTGACGACGACCGCCGATAGCCGCCCGCACAAGGAGAGGCACCAACTTCGGCGGAAGTCGTGACAGTACCCCCCCCTTGACGCGCGGCTCCAGCAGTGCGCCGACGCCGACACCGACCTCGGGGATGACCCGGAGGACGAGGTGCAGGACGATCCGGGTGGAGACGGTGAAATCCCTGTAGTAAGGAAGGGTCCAGGATGTCCTCCACCGGCACCCAGCATCTCTCCTCCGGACCGTACCCCTCCCACTCCACGAGGTACGGAAGGCCCCTAGCCCGACGCCTTGAGTCCATGATGGCTCGCACAGTATACGCCGGGGCCCCCCCGATGTCCAGTGGGGGCGGAGGAACCTCCCGTACCTCAGACTGCTGGAGCGAACCAGCCACCACCGGCCTGAGGAGAGACACATGGAACGAGGGGTTAATATGGTAATCAGGGGGGAGCTGTAACCTATAACAAACCTTTTTTTTATTTATTTTTTATTTCACCTTTATTTAACCAGGTAAGACAGTTGAGAACAAGTTCTCATTTACAACTGCGACCTGGCCAAGATAAAGCAAAGCAGTGCGATAAAAACAACAACACAGAGTTACATATGGGGTAAATCAAAACATAAAGTCAAAAATACAACAGAAAATATATTTACAGTGTGTGCAAATGTAGCAAGTTACAGTGGGGAAAAAAAGTATTTAGTCAGCCACCAATTGTGCAAGTTCTCCCACTTAAAAAGATGAGAGAGGCCTGTAATTTTCATCATAGGTACACGTCAACTATGACAGACAAATTGAGAAAAAAAAATCCAGAAAATCACATTGTAGGATTTTTAATGAATTTATTTGCAAATGATGGTGGAAAATAAGTATTTGGTCACCTACAAACAAGCAAGATTTCTGCCTCTCACAGACCTGTAACTTCTTCTTTAAGAGGCTCCTCTGTCCTCTACTTGTTACCTGTATTAATGGCACCTGTTTGAACTTGTTATCAGTATAAAAGACACCTGTTCACAACCTCAAACAGTCACACTCCAAACTCCACTATGGCGAAGACCAAAGAGCTGTCAAAGGACACCAGAAACAAAATTGTAGACCTGCACCAGGCTGGGAAGACTGAATCTGCAATAGGTAAGCAGCTTGGTTTGAAGAAATCAACTGTGGGAGCAATTATTAGGAAATGGAAGACATACAAGACCACTGATAATCTCCCTCGATCTGGGGCTCCACGCAAGATCTCACCCCGTGGGGTCAAAATGATCACAAGAACGGTGAGCAAAAATCCCAGAACCACACGGGGGGACCTAGTGAATGACCTGCAGAGAGCTGGGACCAAAGTAACAAAGCCAACCATCAGTAACACACTACGCCGCCAGGGACTCAAATCCTGCAGTGCGAGACGTGTCCCCCTGCTTAAGACAGTACATGCCCAGGCCTGTCTAAAGTTTGCTAGAGTGCATTTGGATGATCCAGAAGAGGATTGGGAGAATGTCATATGAAACCAAAATAGAACTTTTTGGTAAAAACTCAACTCGTTGTGTTTGGAGGACAAAGAATGCTGAGTTGCATCCAAAGAACACCATACCTACTGTGAATCATGGGGGTGGAAACATCATGCTTTGGGGCTGTTTTTCTGCAAAGGGACCAGGACGACTGATCCGTGTAAAGGAAAGAATGAATGGGGCCATGTATCGTGAGATTTTGAGTGAAAACCTCCTTCCGTCAGCAAGGGCATTGAAGATGAAACGTGGCTGGGTCTTTCAGCATGACAATGATCCCAAACACACCGCCTGGGCAACGAAGGAGTGGCTTCGTATGAAGCATTTCAAGGTCCTGGAGTGGCCTAGCCAGTCTCCAGATCTCAACCCCATAGAAAATCTTTGGAGGGAGTTGAAAGTCTGTGTTGCCCAGCGACAGCCCCAAAACATCACTGCTCTAGAGGAGATCTGCATGGAGGAATGGGCCAAAATACCAGCAACAGTGTGTGACAACCTTGTGAAGACTTACAGAAAACGTTTGACCTGTGTCATTGCCAACAAAAGGTATATAACAAAGTATTGAGAAACTTTTGTTATTGACCAAATACTTATTTTCCACCATAATTTGCAAATAAATTCATAAAAAATCCTACAATGTGATTTTCTTGATTTTTTTTCCTCATTTTGTCTGTCCTAGTTGACTTGTACCTATGATGAAAATTACAGGCCTCTCTCATCTTTTTAAGTGGGAGAACTTGCACAATTGGTGGCTGACTAAATACTTTTTTTCCCCACTGTATGGAGGTAAGGCAATAAATAGGCTATAGTGCAAAATAATTACAATTAGTATTAACACTGGAATGATAGATGTGCAAGAGATGATGTGCAAATAGAGATACTGGCGTGCAAATGAGCAAAATAAATAACAATATAGGGATGAGGTAGTTGGGTGGGCTAATTTCAGATGGTCTGTGTACAGGTGCAGTGATCGGTAAGGTGCTCTGACAACTGATGCTTAAAGTTAGTGAGGGAGATAAGTGTCTCCAGCTTCAGAGATTTTTGCAATTCGTTCCAGTCATTGGCAGCAGAGAACCGGAAGGAATGGCGGCCAAAGGAGGTGTTGGCTTTGGGGATGACCAGTGAGATATACCTGCTGGAGCGCATACTACGGGTGGGTGTTGCTATGGTGACCAATGAGCTAAGATAAGGCGGGGATTTGCCTAGCAGTGATTTATAGATGGCCTGGAGCCAGTGGGTTTGGCGTCGAATATGTAGTGAGGACCAGCCAACAAGAGCGTACAGGTCACAGTGGTGTGTAGTGTATGGGGCTTTGGAGACAAAACGGATGGCACTGTGATAGACTACATCCAATTTGCTGAGTAGAGTGTTGGAGGCTATTTTGTAAATGACATCGCCGAAGTCAAGGATCGGTAGGATAGTCAGTTTTACGAGGGCATGTTTGGCAGCATGAGTGAAGGAGGCTTTGTTGCGAAATAGGAAGCCAATTCTAGATTTAACTTTGGATTGGAGATTCTTAATGTGAGTCTGGAAGGAGAGTTTACAGTCTAACCAGACACCTAGGTATTTGTAGTTGTCCACATACTCTAGGTCAGACCCGTCGAGAGTAGTGATTCTAGTCGGGTGGGCGGGTGCCAGCAGCGTTCGATTGAAGAGCATGCATTTAGTTTTACTAGTGTTTAAGAGCAGTTGGAGGCTACTGAAGGAGTGTTGTATGTTATTGAAGCTCGTTTGGAGGTTTGTTAACACAGTGTCCAGTGAAGGGCCAGATGTATACACAATGGTGTCGTCTGCGTAGAGGTGGATCTGAGAGTCTCCGGCAGCAAGAGCGACATCATTGATATACACAGAGAAAAGAGTCGGCCCAAGAATTGAACCCTGTGGCACCCCCATTGTTCAGTCTCCTCAGGACTTTAAATGGCTCCACAAATCGCGGACCCAGCTTCCGGCAGGGCAGGCGAAGGGGCAGGTTTCGGGTCGAGAGCCAGACCCGGTTCCCCGGTGCATACAACGGGGCCTCACTGCGGTGGCCATTCATCCACCGCAGGTGCCTCGATCTGGCTCTGATGCCACGGTGCCAGGACCGTTGATACCCTAGTACACACTGAAATGGAGACATGTTAGTGGAGGAGTGGCGGAGGGAGTTTTGGGCCATCTCTGCCCAGGGGATGAAAGCCACCCACTCCCCCGGCCGGTCCTGGCAATAGGACCACAGAAACCTACCCACATCCTGGTTAACTCTCTCCACCTGCCCATTACTCTCGGGGTGAAAACCTGAGGTCAGGCTGACCGAGACCCCCAGAAGTTCCATGAACGCCCTCCAGACCCTCGATGTGAACTGGGGACCCCGATCAGACACTATATCCTCAGGCACCCCGTAGTGCTGGAAGACGTGGGTAAACAGAGCCTCCGCAGTCTGTAGGGCCGTAGGGAGACCGGGCAAAGGAAGGAGACGGCAGGACTTAGAAAACCGATCCACAATGACCAGGATCGTGGTGTTACCTTGTGACGGAGGAAGATCTGTCACGAAGTCCACCGATAGGTGTGACCACGGCCGTTGTGGAACGGATAGGGGTTGTAATTTCCCTCTGGGCAGGTGTCTAGGTGCCTTGCACTGAGCCGCGCACACCGAGCAGGAGGAAACATAAACCTTCACGTCCTTAGCTAAAGTGGGCCACCAGTACTTCCCACTAAGACAGCGCACTGTCCGACCGATGCCAGGATGACCAGAGGAGGGTGACGTGTGGGCCCAACAGATCAATCGATCGCGGACATCAAACGGAATGTACAGACACGGAACCGGACACTGGGTGGGAGTGGGCTCCGCACGTAACGCCCGCTTGATGTCCGCGTCAACCTCCCATACCACCGGTGCCACCAGGCAAGAAGCCGGAAGTATGGGAGTGGGATCCGTGGACCGCTCCTCTGAGTCATACATCCGGGACAGAGCGTCTGCCTAAGCGTTCTGGGAACCTGGTCTGTAGGATAGGGTGAAAACAAAACGGGTGAAAAACATGGCCCACCTTGCCTGGCGAGGGTTCAGTCTCCTCGCCGGCAGGATGTACTCCAGATTGCGGTGGTCAGTCCAAATGAGGAAAGGGTGTTTAGCCCCCTCAAGCCAATGTCTCTACGCCTTCAGAGCCTTGACAACAGCTAACAGCTCCCGGTCCCCCACATCATAGTTTCGCTCCGCCGGGCTGAGCTTCTTCGAAAAGAAAGCACAGGGGCGGAGCTTTGGTGGCGTACCCGAGCACTGAGACAGCACAGCTCCTATCCCTGCCTCGGACGCGTCCACCTCTACTATGAATGCTAAGGAGGGATCCGGATGAGCCAGCACAGGAGCCGAAGTAAACAGAGCCTTCAGGTAACCAAAAGCCCTGTCCGCCCCAGCTGACCACTGCAGTCGCACCGGTCCCCCCTTCAGCAAGGAGGTAATGGGAGCCGCTATCTGACCAAAGCCCTGGATAAACCTCCGGTAGTAGTTGGCAAACCCTAAGAACCGCTGCACTTCCTTTACCGTGGTTGGAGTCAGCCAATTACGCACGGCTGAAATGCAGTCATTCTCCATCTCCACCCCTGACGCGGACAGGCGGTACCCTAGGAAGGAGACGGACTGTTGGAAGAACAGACATTTCTCAGCCTTGACGTACAGGTCATGCTCCAACAGTCGACCAAGCACCTTGCGCACCAGGGACACATGCTTGGCACGTGTAGCGGAGTATATGAGTGTCATCTATATACACCACTACACCCTGCCCGTGCAGGTCCCTGAAGATCTCATCTACAAAGGATTGGAAGACTGATGGAGCATTCATTTTTAAATTTAATGTATTTATTTAATTATTTTAAATTTTTTAATTTATTTAACCCGTACGGCATGACGAGGTACTCATAGTGCCCAGAGGTGGTACTAAATGCAGTCTTCCACTCATCCTCCTCCCGGATACACACCAAGTTGTACGCGCTCCTGAGATCCAGTTTTGTGAAGAAGCACGCCCCATGCAATGACTCGGTCACACTGGCTATGAGAGGCAACAGGTAACTGTACTTCACCGTGATCTGATTTATACCCCGATAGTCAATGCACGGGCGTAAACCTCCATACTTCTTCTTCACAAAAAAGAAACTCGAGGAGGCAGGTGAAGTGGAAGGCCGAATGTATCCCTGTCCCAAAGATTCGGAGACATATGTTTCCATAGCCGCCGTCTCCTCCTGTGACAGAGGATACACGTGACTCCTGGGAAGTGCTGCGTCTTCCTGGAGATTTATCGCACAATCCCCCCCGTCGATGGGGTGGTAATTGAGTCACCTTCTTTTTACAGAAAGCGAGAGCCAAATCGGTATGTTCAGGGGGGAATGTGCATGGGGGACACCTGGTTTGGACTTTCCACCGAAGTTGCACCTACGGAAACACCTACACACCTCCCTGAGCACTGACGTGACCATCCCTTCAGAGCCCTCTGTTGCCACGAAATGGTGGGGTCATGATGGGCCAACAAGGGAAGCCCCCAACACCACATGAAACGCAGGAGAATCGATCAGGAAGAGACTAATACTCTCCTCATGACCCTCCTGCGTTATCATACATAGTGGAGCTGTGACCTCCCTAATCAGGCCCGATCTTAAAGGACGACTATCTAAGGCATGTACAGGAAAGGGCACATCAACAGTAACAATAGGGATCCCTATTCTAAGTGCAAAGGCACGGTCAATAAAGTTCCCAGCTGCACCTGAATCTACTAGCGCCTTATGCTGGGAATGCAGGAATTGCAGGAAACGGCCCCCCCTCCGGTCACCCTTAGAGTAGCGCCTCCGAGCTCCATAGGGGTAGGGTCGGAGGTGCTGGGGGATGGAATGGACGGACCCTGAACCGGACGTCCGCGGGTGGCCTACTGGTTATCCAGCCGGATGGATAAATCCACCAGCTGGTCGAGTGTAAGGGTGGTGTCCCTGCAGGCCAGCTCCCGATGAACGTCCTCCCGTAGACTACACCGGTAATGGTCGATCAGGGCCCTCTCATTCCATACCGCTCTGGCAGCCAGGGTCCTGAAGTCCAGAAGTGATGTGCTCTCCTCCTCCCCTGTCTGAGATGGAACAAGCGTTCCCCCGCCGCTCTCCCCTCAGGCGGATGATCAAAGACCGCCTGGAAACGGCGGGTGAAATCCTCGTAGCGAACCAAATTAGCGTCTATACCTCCCCATTCGGCGTTGGCCCACTCCAGCACTTTCAGGAGATGAGGGCGGACACTCTCTCGTAACCCGAGGGAGCCGGGTGGACGGTCGCCAGGTAGATCTCCACCTGGAGCAGGAACCCCTGGCACCCGGCAGCCGTCCCATCATAGGCCTTCGGGAGCGAGAGCCGAATCCCACTGGGTCCAGGTGACGGAGGGGTGGACAATGGTGTGGGTTGAGGTGAAGTTGATGGGGTTGTGGGAAAACCCTCTCTCTCCCATCGCTCCATGGTGTGCAGCAGGCGATCCATGGCTGTGCACAGATTGTGGAGCATCGTCGCGTGCTGCTGGACGCGCTCCTCCACCGGTAACAGAGGACTGGGTGCACCTGCTGACTCCTTATGTGGTGCGTGATTCTGTCAGGTATCAGTGTGCAGCGGTAGGACGGAGTCAGGCGCAGGACACAGAACTGAGTAAATTACAAACTTTACTCGGAAAAACAACACATCTAATTTCCACGCAGGGAAATACAACTGCTCACAGCAGTATATAACACCAAACAAGGAACAATCACGCACAACACCATGACGGAACCAGAGGGGTAAATAGGGAAACAAATTAACGTGATGAGAACCAGGTGTGTACAATACAGACAAAACAAATGGAAAACAGAAACGTAGATCGGTGGCAGCTAGAAAGCCGGTGACGACGACCACCGATAGCCGCCCGCACAAGGAGAAGCACCAACTTCGGCGGAAGTCGTGGCATCTACAATGTTAAAAGTAAAGAACAACCCTTGAATGAGTAGGTGTGTCCAAACTTTTGACTGGTAGTGTGTATATACAGTGAGGGAAAAAAGTATTTGATCCCCTGCTGATTTTGTACGTTTGCCCACTGACAAAGACATGATCAGTCTATAATTTTAATGGTAGGTTTATTTGAACAGTGAGAGACAGAATAACAACAACAAAATCCAGAAAAACGCATGTCAAAAATGTTATAAATTGATTAGCATTTTAATGAGGGAAATAAGTATTTGACCCCTCTGCAAAACATTACTTAGTACTTGGTGGCTAAACCCTTGTTGGCAATCACAGAGGTCAGATGTTTCTTGTAGTTGGCCACCAGGTTTGCACACATCTCAGCAGGGATTTTGTCCCACTCCTCTTTGCAGATCTTCTCCAAGTCATTAAGGTTTCGAGGCTGACATTTGGCAACTCGAACCTTCAGCTCCGTCCACAGATTTTCTATGGGATTAAGGTCTGGAGACTGGCTAGGCCACTCCAGGACCTTAATGTGCTTCTTCTTGAGCCACTCCTTTGTTGCCTTGGCCGTGTGTTTTGGGTCATTGTCATGCTGAAATACCCATCCACGACCCATTTTCAAAGCCCTGGCTGAGGGAAGGAGGTTCTCACACAAGATTTGACGGTACATGGCCCCGTCCATCGTCCCTTTGATGCGGTGAAGTTGTCCTGTCCCCTTAGCAGAAAAACATCCCCAAAGCATAATGTTTCCACCTCCATGTTTTGACGGTGGGGATGGTGTTCTTGGGGTCATAGGCAGCATTCCTCCTCCTCCAAACACGGCGAGTTGAGTTGATGCCAAAGACCTCGATTTTGGTCTCATCTGACCACAACACTTTCACCCAGTTCTCCTCTGAATCATTCAGATGTTCATTGGCAAACTTCAGACGGCCCTGTATATGTGCTTTCTTGAGCAGGGGGACCTTGCGGGCGCTGCAGGATTTCAGTCCTTCACGGCGTAGTGTGTTACCAATTGTTTTCTTGGTGACTATGGTCCCAGCTGCCTTGAGATCATTGACAAGATCCTCCCGTGTAGTTCTGGGCTGATTCCTCACCATTCTCATGATCATTGCAACTCCACGAGGTGAGATCTTGCATGGAGCCCCAGGCCGAGGGAGATTGACAGTTATTTTGTGTTTCTTCCATTTGCGAATAATCGCACCAACTGTTGTCACCTTCTCACCAAGTTGCTTGGCGATGGTCTTGTAGCCCATTCCAGCCTTGTGTAGATCTACAATCTTGTCCCTGACATCCTTGGAGAGCTCTTTGGTCTTGGCCATGGTGGAGAGTTTGGAATTTGATTGATTTATTGCTTCTGTGGACAGGTGTCTTTTATACAGGTAACAAGCTGAGATTAGGAGCACTCCCTTTAAGAGTGTGCTCCTAATCTCAGCTTGTTACCTGTATAAAAGACACCTGGGAACCAGAAATCTTTCTGATTGAGATGGGGTCAAATACTTATTTTCCTCATTAAAATGCAAATCAATTTATAACATTTTTGACATGCGTTTTTCAGGATTTTTTTGTTGTTATTCTGTCTCTCACTGTTCAAATAAACCTACCATTAAAATTATAGACTGATCATTTCTTTGTCAGTGGGCAAACGTACAAAATCAGCAGGGGATCAAATACTTTTTTCCCTCACTGTATATATATATTTGAGTTCATACTGTAGCTTTCTATTATCAGCGCATCTTCTCGTATCTTTAGTTTGATCAATCTGCTTCCCATCTTACTCACAAAACCAGTTTGAAGTCAGAAAGCGAAAAAATTATATTTTGAGAAATCACAAAGCCAAGATCACTCAAAAACACTGTATCAGCTTAAAATGATCGTAGTACAGGTTTTTATCTCGATCAAGAAAGATTTGATAGTCCCTCTTACCACAGGTTCATGACAGTGTGTCAGACATAGAGATGCCTAATAACCCTTTAACACAGGACTATGTTCCTCTTTCACCTTGCAGGATGAGCTGGACCTGTCAGGGAAACACAGGGAAGTCATTTTTGCCCTGCCAGCTGAGAAGAAATGGCAGATGTACTGTAGCAAGAAGAAGGTAAGTTTAAGGCCACTTGACTAGTAGTTAGTATGCATGTAACCTCATCATGTGTTTTGTTTCTGTCTGTACTGTGTCTGCGTGAGAGAGATAATCTGTTTGTTATGTGTGTGTGTGTGCATCTCTCTCGCTCTCTACAGTGGGGAAAAAAAGTATTTAGTCAGCCACCAATTGTGCAAGTTCTCCCACTTAAAAAGATGAGAGAGGCCTGTAATTTTCATCATAGTTACACGTCAACTATGACAGACAAAATGAGCAAACAAAATCCAGAAAATCACATTGTAGGATTTTTAATGAATTTATTTGCAAATGATGGTGGAAAATAAGTATTTGGTCAATAACAAAAGTTTCTCAATACTTTGTTATATACCCTTTGTTGGCAATGAGACAGGTCAAACGTTTTCTGTAAGTCTTCACAAGGTTTTCACACACTGTTGCTGGTATTTTGGCCCATTCCTCCATGCAAATCTCCTCTAGAGCAGTGATGTTTTGGGGCTGTCGCCGGGCAACACGGACTTTCAACTCCCTCCAAAGATTATCTATGGGGTTGAGATCTGGAGAGTGGCTAAGCCACTCCAGGACCTTGAAATGCTTCTTACGAAGCCACTCCTTCGTTGCCCGGGCGGTGTGTTTGGGATCATTGTCATGCTGAAAGACCCAGCCACGTTTCATCTTCAATGCCCTTGCTGATGGAAGGAGGTTTTCACTCAAAATCTCACGATACATGGCCCCATTCATTCTTTCCTTTACACGGATCAGTCGTCCTGGTCCCTTTGCAGAAAAACAGCCCCAAAGCATTATGTTTCCACCCCCATGCTTCACAGTAGGTATGGTGTTCTTTGGATGCAACTCAGCATTCTTTGTCCTCCAAACACGACGAGTTGAGTTTTTACCAAAAAGTTATATTTTGGTTTCATCTGACCATATGACATTCTCCCAATCCTCTTCTGGATCATCCAAATGCACTCTAGCAAACTTCAGAGGGGCCTGGACATGTACTGGCTTAAGCAGGGGGACACGTCTGGCACTGCAGGATTTGAGTCCCTGGCGGCGTAGTGTGTTACTGATGGTAGGCTTTGTTACTTTGGTCCCAGCTCTCTGCAGGTCATTCACTAGATCCCCCCGTGTGGTTCTGGGATTTTTGCTCACCATTCTTGTGATTATTTTGACCCTACGGGGTGAGATCTTGCGTGGATCCCCAGATCGAGGGAGATTATCAGTGGTCTTGTATGTCTTCCATTTCCTAATAATTGTTCCCACAGTTGATTTCTTCAAACCAAGCTGCTTACCTATTGCAGATTCAGTCTTCCCAGCCTGGTGCAGGTCTACAATTTTGTTTCTGGTGTCCTTTGACAGCTCTTTGGTCTTGGCCATAGTGGAGTTTGGAGTGTGACTGTTTGAGGTTGTGGACAGGTGTCTTTTATACTGATAACACGTTCAAACAGGTGCCATTAATACAGGTAACGAGTGGAGGACAGAGGAGCCTCTTAAAGAAGAAGTTACAGGTCTGTGAGAGCCAGAAATCTTGCTTGTTTGTAGGTGACCAAATACTTATTTTCCACCATAAGTTGCAAATAAATTCATAAAAAATCCTACAATGTGATTTTCTGGATTTTTTTTCTCTCAATTTGTCTGTCATAGTTGACGTGTACCTATGATGAAAATTACAGGCCTCTCTCATCTTTTTAAGTGGGAGAACTTGCACAATTGGTGGCTGACTAAATACTTTTTTCCCCCACTGTATGTATGTTAGCAACAGTATCTAGAGGGAATGTCTGCTGAGCTCTGCTAGTGTGTGGGAAATATTTTCAATTCAAACAAATGAGAAAGAGAGAGCGGGTGAGACGCAACATAAGCCCCCCCCCCCTTCCCCCCCAATCCCACCTCCGTGCCCTTGCCCCAATTCAGTACAGTCAACACATCAAAGCCCTCCCCTGATGTTGCAGCACTCTAATAGGAAATTAACCCCAACGTTGGGGAGTTGTGCTGTTCCTCTTTAATGGTTTGGATACATTTCCTGGAAGGACGTTCTCATCTGTCATGACCGACTGTAGCTCATAAATATGTGAATACAGAAGCCTGGCTTGCTTGCCATATTAAATTATATACTGAGGTCATGCGTCTAACACACAGACATAACCTACAGTGTCTTCAGAAAGTATTCATACTACTTGACTTATTCCACAGTTTGTTCTGTTACAGCCTGAATTTAAAATTGATTACATATTTTTTTTCTCACCAATCTACACCCAATACTCAATAATGACAAAGTAAATACATGTTTTTAGAAATTATTGCAAATACAGAGATATATCTTATTTACATAAATATTCACACCCCTGAGTCAATACATGTTAGAATCACCTTTTCAAGACGATTTTAAGTCAAAACTGTAACTAGGCCACTCAGGAACGTTCTATGTCGTCTTGGTAAGCAACTCCAGTGTATATTTGGCCTTGTGTTTTAGGTTATTGTCCTGCTGAAAGGTAAATTCCTCTCCCTGTGTCTGGTGGAAAGCAGGCTGAACCAGATTTTCCTCTAGGATTTTGCCTGTGCTTAGCACTATTTCATTTATTTTTATCAAAAAAAAACTCCCTAGTTTTTATACCCATAACATGATGCAACCACCACCATTCGTGAAAATATGAAGAGTGGTACTCAGTGATGTGTTCTGTTGGATTTGCCCCAAACGTAATGCGTTGTATTCAGGACATAAAGTTCATTTCTTTGCCACATTTTTTTGCAGTTTTACTTTAGTGCCTTATTGCAAACATGATGCATGTTTTGGAATATTTGTATTCTGTACAGGCCTCCTTCTTTTCACTCTGTCATTTAGGTTAGCATTGTGGAGTAAGTACAATGTTGTTGAACCATCCTCATTTTTCTCCTATCACAGCCATTAAACTCTAACTGTTTTAAAGTCACCATTGGCCTCATGGATAAATCCCTGAGCGGTTTCCTTCCTCTCCGGCAACTGAGTTAGGAAGGAGGCCTTTATTTTTGTAGTGACTGGGTGTATTGATACACCATCCGGTGTAATTAATAACTTCACCATGCTCAAGGGGATATCCCTCATAGTTCCCTTACTGGGGTCAACGTCTTGTCTCATTAACTGCGTGGATCTCACCTTGTCTGGGATCCAAATTGAACGCTGTTCTGTTTCACTATTGTTGATCAGAGACGTGACACAATAGTGAAATTAAGCAATACTCAGTTTGGATTCCAGAGTAGATCTCATCGTCAGTTGGCCGGAACCTACCAGCCATGCTAACTGCCAAGGTGGTCAATGTGGGGTAGCAAGTGTGCTGTGTTCTCTGTGATGTCTTACTGACCTACAAAGAGAGCTCCAAGCTTACCAGTCTTCCAGTAAGTATTGGGAGATATAGCAGCACAGTGCTACATTTCACAAGTGGTCACTACTACTGACCTCATTCCTGCTGACCCACTCCTTAAGGTGTCCGCATGCTTCCCAGCCAAAACATTTCAGAAGAGTTTGTGCATATATTATACTATTTTGTGATGTTTTTGTTCGTTTTGGACTACGGTGAGGATTTTTTCGGCTGTTTGGGCACACAACATTTTTTCTGAAGGCAAGCCTAGATTCGGAGCCAAAGTCAGTGATTAGTCAACAGTAGGGATTCTTCAATAAAGTCTTTGTTGTCATTTTCATGCACGTTTTTTCATTACTGCACAAAACATCTTAGTTAGATGTAAAATTGCGTGACTAAGATCTCATCGGCAAAAACGTCAAAAGTAATGACAGATTTCTTGAGTTATCTTAGATTAATACTGACTATTTTGAGGAAGTGTATATTGGCTACGGCGTCTCAAAATGGACAAACAGTACTATTGCTGCTTTTTTCTCGTTTTCCAAGTGAAGGTCTATTAAGGGAGTATGTGAGCACACTCGTTCTGTTCGGCTAGCCGAACCCAACTATTTAATACATTCTGCTGCCCGAAATATAGCCACCTCTGAAATAGAGCCTGGTTCCGTCCTTATAATCTCATTGCTCATGTGATGAGGATGGATGGGAATCTGGGTAACTAACACCTCATCAGGGAGAGAGAGGGAGTGCTCCAGCTCCTTTGTTTTCACAGATTTATGGACCCCTTTAATGGGATATTGTGTTGACTGTTGCTAAGCCTGTGAGACAAGCCACACACATTTCCCTAGCCCGGTCTTTGGTTTGCTAGTGTTAGTGTTTGGTTTGCTAGTCTGGGAAGCTTTGGGAAGTGTGGGTGGGCAGCTCACCCAGTAGCCCATTTAAATCTGCTTACCTAACCACTCCTGTGGGGACTCAATAAAGGCTTCAATTATGAGGTGTCAGGGGACTGGACAATATATGGAACTAGGACACTGAACTGGAAGAAAGAACGAAGAATAGAAGAATTTCTCTTTTGAAATGATTGTGGAAGAATGTTTGAAAGAACTTTGTGCAATGAAGGCTGGGCTTGATATATGTCTTGTCCTGGTCAGTGTTGGCTAAACGCCGCTGTGATTTAAAGAGGAGCAGCAGTAGATTATAGCCTAAACATAGAAAATTACCCAACTGCAGTAAATGTACAATGGCATTATTTCAGATCATTAACCTTTATAGAATACAAATACTACCATCTGTTAAGAACCCATAACTAAGGAGGGAAAAGGCATATACTGGACATTACTATAGACTGTTCATGCTCAGCCAAAACCTTAGACAAAATAGACCACTTGAGCCAGCGATACACAGGGGATTTATAAGAATCTATGAGCTTAGGCTGCACAGCAACCTTATACAGTCTATGTGAGACAGAGAGCCAGGTGAGAACCAGAGAGTACATATCTGGTGTGGTTGTTATGATCCCAAAGGGAGACTAGGCTGGAAATTAATGAGGACAGTCCAGTTCACACACTCCACTGTCACTGGAAGGAGTTCAGCAGCAATTACACATTAGTGGGTCAGGTTATATGGGGGTTATAAGGCCTTGGAGGTATTCTCTGTTCTCAGGCTATGTAGTGTACTGTTCAATACAGGGTTTGGGTTTTGTCTGGATAATGACATGATGGTCAAGGGAAATATATAATCGGGTGGGGAAGGAATGTGTGTGTGTGTTTCTCTGTGTATGTGTGTGTTTTATGTAACCCTTTGTCTGTCTGTCTGTCTGTTTTCCGTTTCAGGAGGGAGAAGAGAGCAAGGGTGCGACTAGCTGGCCAGAGTTCTATATCGACCAGTTGAATTCCATGGCTGCTGTAAGTATCCTTCTCCCCTCATCAAATAACCAACCTGTACTTGGCAAATTTAGCTAACATTGCAAATAATAATAATATGCCATTTAGCAGACGCTTTTATCCAAAGCGACTTACAGTCATGCGTGCATACATTTTTTTGTGTATGGGTGGTCCCGGGGATCGAACCCACTACCTTGGCGTTTCAAGCGCCGTGTTCTACCAGCTGAGCTACAGAGGACCAGATGCAAAACAATAACGCACAACAACCAACCATGCAGACATGCTGTAGAGTAGAGAGAGCCATGTGATTTTGGTGTTGCACTAGCCACTATATAGAGAGAAGATGTTCTATTTTATGGGTATCTCTCCTTGTAAAAGCTTATGGTCTGATGCTAAATCTGTGGGAAATTAGAGTAAATTAGGGGGTATTATCAATTTGTTTTATAGGTTTGCCTGGAGGGGGGGATCTGTGTGTGTCTCTTTTTATAATACTACATATTTCTCACATCTGTAAATAACTGTGAAACCCTCACAGTTTATATTAGACAAAGATGCAGTATAAGAATTACCTTTATTTAACCTGGTAAGTTTTTGAGAACATATTATCTTTTAAAATGACGACCTGAAAAGGCTTGTCCCCCTGAACATGCACTATTTGACAAGCTGATGACGTTAATCCATGGTCCCTTAACGGGATCTCACACCCTGGAGGTGTGTGTTAAATATCCACATACTTCCTCTGGTTCTGAGGTAGTAGTCCTGGGAGGGATCCCTGTGGGCTAATTTAGGATGTTTTCACAGGGCAGTGGAGTTAGCACTAGGGCTGGCAGGTGTGAGATTCTGGTTGGATCCCTAACTTCTAACTGTTACCACAGGGTGTAGCCTGCTCCAGACCGAGTAGAGGAAATTACCTCCAGTCATGTATCAGTAAAGGCGATGCTGGTGGGCTGCTTGGATAATGGGATAATAGCTGCCTGTTGGTGGTCTACAGCCAGGGATAGTAGCTTACTGAGCAGGTTCCTTCCCAGCACCATGAATCATAGGTCTGGGGGTCAAAGTTCTTATGGCCTGGAAAAACACAGAGAACCATAACGGTCCTAGAACAGAGCCTTGCGGGACACCATTTTGAGTTTTAGTGAGTACATTGTCATTGAGTCTTCTTGTCTAACAAGTTTTCGAAATCAATATTTTTTCATCACCAGAGGAAGACCCTTATTGCGTTGGAAATGGAGGATGAGGAAGAGAGGAACAAGACTATAGAGAGCTTGAAGACAGCTCTAAGGACACAACCCATGAGGTATACCAGTGACACTCATACACTCATGCTCCTTTTCATGCATACTTGTTCTCATATGCATGCATTCAATTAAGATGTGTGCTATGTAAATGTATGTGTTTGTGAAACTCGAAAACTGAAGAATTGGAGTGCGTTGTTACTGCACTGGATAGACTTAGATCACATGATATCGAGTTTCCTTTTCTTTTATGAGATATTAGTTATGATAAACTCATATTCTATTTTGAGTTTAAGTCATAACAGAGTATGGCCGAGAGCGCTTTAGTGAGTCTGCTATTTGCACAAAGTAGGTTGGGTTAATTTACTGTGCTCAGTCTCACAGGCCATTCATCATCATTAGAGTGACCTAATATGATTAATCACTAGACTAGGCTTTGTGTTGAGAGCCATTCAGCCCCAGTCCAGTCCAAACACCACTGCAATAATATGATATTACAGCCCTATAGACCACACCGCGTAGACTAGCCTGACACACACACACACACACACGCATGCAAGCACACACACGTCAGGTAAAACGTCTTCCCCTTAAGGTCCTCCAGAGGTTAGGTCAACACTGCCCTTCTCACCTTTCACCTCTAACCCCTCCCAGGGGTCATGGTAGTCTATCACCAATGAGCTCTCTCTGTTTTCCTCCATGCCTATTTTATTGTGCTAAATGGCGCTTGTCTGCTGGCTAAAGATGTTTATTTGTCCTCTGTTCTTGTTTTCATCGAATGAAAACTGCAATTCCACTTGCTTACATTGAACACACATGCACACCGAAAAAACATGCACACAAACTCTTAGGTTTGTTAAACAAAGTGAAGTTACTGTAGAGGGCAACAAAGTGATCAAACTCTATAAATATACTTTAGTCAATTTTCATAAAACACATGGTCACCACACTAAGGGTCAAGGTCAAGGTCCCCACCCCCCAGCAGTTTTACTAATGTTTATAGCTTGTTTGATCTCACCATCTCCCCATTTCCTAGTGAAAGCCAGTCAACTGTGAAATTAGTTTTGCCAAAGTAAAAGAAGGGGTATAGTAGGATCTGATTGTGTATTGTCCAGGAACAGAATGGGATTTATATGAAAGGTTATCTGTTTCTGGGTGCATCTGAAGTGGCAACCTATTCCCTATATAGTGCACTACTTTTGACCAGGGCCCATAGGGCTCTGGTGAAAAATGGTGCACTACATAGGGAATAGGTTACCATTTCAGATGCAGCCTGTCTCTCTCCCTGACCTTTACCCTCAATCCTCCTCTTCCTTTAAAGGTTTGTGACGCGGTTCATCGACCTGGACGGTCTGACCTGCATCCTGAACTTCCTGAAGAGCATGGACTACGAGACCACCGAGTCCCAGATCCACACGTCCCTGATCGGCTGCATCAAGGCCCTGATGAACAACTCCCAGGGCCGCTCCCACGTGCTCTCCCATACAGAGAGCATTAACATTATCGCCCAGAGCCTGGCCACAGAGAATGTCAAGACGAAAGTGGCGGTGCTGGAGATCATGGGCGCTGTGTGTCTGGTGCCAGGAGGCCACAGGAAGATCCTGGAGGCCATGCTGCACTATCAGAAGTTCGCCTGCGAGAGGACTCGCTTCCAGGTGGGAGGACAGACACCTTGGCCTCATAGACACCACTGTAGCCAAGTGTTCAGTTGGGCTTTTCACACTGTAATGTGTTAGCACAAGCCTTTCCTTAACCTTGTGTTAAGACTGACCCAGAGATGTTGCATGGCCTTATTCACTTAACATATAGAACTTTCAGGTGTTACTCTAATTAGTGTTTAGTCTTTACGTTTCTTATGTCCATATTACTGATGCTTCTTTCTCTCCTTTTATCCTGTCTTAGACTCTGCTGAATGACCTGGACAGGAGTACGGGGCGCTACAGGGACGAGGTCAACCTGAAAACAGCCATCATGTCCTTCATCAATGCAGTGCTCAGTCAGGGAGCAGGGGAGGTGAGTGCTCCTCTTCCTCTCTAAGTATTTGCCCTCTTATGGTCCAGTTGGTTGTCTTCAGAGAGTCTAACTGCTACAGTGGGGAAAAAAAGTATTTAGTCAGCCACCAATTGTGCAAGTTCTCCCACTTAAAAAGATGAGAGAGGCCTGTAATTTTCATCATAGGTACACGTCAACTATGACAGACAAAATGAGAAAATTTTTTCCAGAAAATCACATTGTAGGATTTTTTATGAATTTATTGGCATATGATGGTGGAAAATAAGTATTTGGTCAATAACAAAAGTTTCTCAATACTTTGTTATATACCGTTTGTTGGCAATGACACAGGTCAAACGTTTTCTGTAAGTCTTCACAAGGTTTTCACACACCGTTGCTGGTATTTTGGCCCATTCCTCCATGCAGATCTCCTCTAGAGCAGTGATGTTTTGGGGCTGTCGCTGGGCAACACAGACTTTCAACTCCCTCCAAAGATTTTCTATGGGGTTGAGATCTGGAGACTGGCTAGGCCACTCCAGGACCTTGAAATGCTTCTTACGAAGCCACTCCTTCGTTGCCCGGGCGGTGTGTTTGGGATCATTGTCATGCTGAAAGACCCAGCCACGTTTCATCTTCAATGCCCTTGCTGATGGAATGAGGGTTTCACTCAAAATCTCACGATACATGGCCCCATTCATTCTTTCCTTTACACGGATCAGTCGTCCTGGTCCCTTTGCAGAAAAACAGCCCCAAAGCATGATGTTTCCAACCCCATGCTTCACAGTAGGTATGGTGTTCTTTGGATGCAACTCAGCATTCTTTGTCCTCCAAACATGACGAGTTGAGTTTTTACCAAAAAGTTATATTTTGGTTTCATCTGACCATATGACATTCTCCCAATCCTCTTCTGGATCATCCAAATGCACTTCAGACGGGCCTGGACATGTACTGGCTTAAGCAGGGGGACACGTCTCGCATTGCAGGATTTGAGTCCCTGGCGGCGTAGTGTGTTACTGATGGTTGGCTTTGTTACTTTGGTCCCAGCTCTCTGCAGGTCATTCACTAGGTCCCCCCGTGTGGTTCTGGGATTTTTGCTCACCGTTCTTGTGATCATTTTGACCCCACGGGGTGAGATCTTGCGTGGAGCCCCAGATCGAGGGAGATTATCAGTGGTCTTGTATGTCTTCCATTTCCTAATAATTGCTCCCACAGTTGATTTCTTCAAACCAAGCTGCTTACCTATTGCAGATTCAGTCTTTCCAGCCTGGTGCAGGTCTACAATTTAGTTTCTGGTGTCCTTTGACAGCTCTTTGGTCTTGGCCATTGTGAAATTTGGAGTGTGACTGTTTGACGTTGTGGACAGGTGTCTTTTATACTGATAACAAGTTCAAACAGGTGCCATTAATACAGGTAACGAGTGGAGGACAGAGGAGCCTCTTAAAGAAGAAGTTACAGGTCTGTGAGAGCCAGAAATCTTGCTTGTTTGTAGGTGACCAAATACTTATTTTCCACCATAATTTGCAAATAAATTCATTAAAAATCCTACAATGGGATTTTCTGGATTTTTTTTCCTCAATTTGTCTGTCATAGTTGACGTGTACCTATGATGAAAATTACAGGCCTCTCTCATCTTTTTAAGTGGGAGAACTTGCACAATTGGTGGCTGACTAAATACTTTTTTTCCCCACTGTATGTGTACTGTATTTCACAGTCAAGCTTTGAGTTCAGAATTCACCTGCGGTACGAGTTCCTTATGTTGGGCATCCAGCCGGTCATCGATAAACTGAGGTCCCACGACAACTCAACGTTAGACAGGTGAGTTAAGTCATAAACTGCATGACTGGTATAGTACATTTCAGATCTAGACCACACTGTCATACCCAACTGCAGTAGATTGTGTCTGACCATTAGATGTTTTCTTCCAGGCATTTGGACTTCTTTGAGATGCTGAGAAACGAGGATGAACTATCTTTGGCAAAACGCTTTGACACTGTGAGTAACATTGGGATTTACCTATACAGTGCATGTCGTTTGCAATAGTTGTTTCTCTGTCTACTAGTTCTAATATCAACTTTTGGTTTTTGTTGTTGCAGGTGCACATTGACACAAAAAGTGCCACGCAAGTGTTTGAGCTCATAAAGAAGAAGATGAACCACACAGATGCACACCCGCACTTTATATCTGTCTTACAGCACTGTCTCCTTATGCCTTGTAAGTGCTGCCTGCCTGCTGTCCGCCATTTCTTTAAAGTTGTTTGAGTTCACCAAGACTCTTCAGGCCTCAACTTTTACATCATTGAGAATTGGACTGTTTGGTTTCTCAGAGGGATCCAAAGTGGTTATACATCAGTGTTTTTTAGTGTCTTTTAGGACGGCAGTAAAAATGATGTCCTCTCTAGGTAGTTTTAAATACCTGGAAATTATTGTTGGAATTCTGCTTATGTGAGGGATTTCTCTCTAGAGGGTGTTTTGCCTGTCGATAAGAACTTTCTACACTATAGCGGAAATGTTGTTCCTCCACATTGCTTTAGCTGTGTTTATGTTGTCCTGAGGGCCTATTTTCAGCCTGATCTCTCCCGTAAGACTCTGTCCTTATTGTGTTGCTATGTGTATGGTAGGATTTCATGGGCAGAGATTTTGCCTAGTCCTAGACTAAGAAGCATTCTCAATAGACAATCTCCATTAAACATGCTTTTTACTCCAGGACTAGACTTAGTTTGTGTCCAGAAAACTGGCCCTAGATATTCGTTGTTGGGTATGCATTGGCTGTTGCAATCAAATGTCCCCTTTGGGTATTAATAAAGTGCTCTCTTCTCTTCTCTCAGACAAGCGTAGTGGGAACACAGTGCATTACTGGCTCCTCCTGGACCGTATCGTCCAGCAAATCGTCCTGCAGAACGACAAAGGTCATGACCCTGACGTCACCCCTCTGGAGAACTTCAACGTGAAGAACGTGGTGCGAATGTGAGTGAGAGGAGAGGAACGAGAGGGGGGGGGGAAACATTTTGACATGCCTGAGTTATGTCCGAGTCGGTTCGACGTTCTCCCCACCTCGCACGGCAGAGGACTGACTGACTGTCTTCATCGTAAATCTCCATGTGGTATTGAACATGCCTCGTTCTAGAAATGGCTTTAAATCCAAATATGGTGATCATGTATATAATCAATGCTGTATATTTATTCATGAGTTAATCTTATCCTGGGTTTAATACAGTGGCCATGATCATAATCACTCTTGGTCCAGGTACTGTACATCACAAATATGAAATGTAAAATATGTGTATACCCTATTATCTCCTTCATTTTATAATCCTTTCAATACCATTTGCCGATTTAGCATGAATACCCTGATCCATTAATACTCGCCAAAAATCAGCAAGTCATTTTGTGGATTTTACTGGGATTTTAATAATTCATTTTTGAAAATATAATCCAGAATGAAAGCACTTTGATCTGTTTTTTGGATGAGGAAATCAGTGAAATGTAGAATTCCAAATATGCATACACAGAAACATCAGTTAACCCCTGCAGCTGCCTCTTGCAAATCTGACTCTGGGTATGAAAGTCTGACTGTCTATGGTTAGGTTTAGAAGAAGCTTACAGGTTCCCTGTTGTCTACTCTGATCACCAATGACTTATCTAATGAACCCGTTTTTATAACTAAACCTATGCCTAACCTCAGTGTGAGGTAATGCCTAGTGGGATTTTGCTGCGATGTCTAATACTTTAGATACTGAACCTAACCTCCTCTGTTCTTCTGCTCAGGCTGGTCAACGAGAATGAAGTCAAACAGTGGAAAGAACAGGCCGAGAAAATGAGAAAAGGTACATACGTTTCTGCTCTCTGGTTTCTATTAGCGATGGAACTGTCGGAAGGCAGACCCTTCTGTACTGTGTATCATCATGCTGATGACTGCTCTGGTCTCGTCTGATCTGGTCTGGTCTGGTTTCTCAGAGCACCATGAGCTGCAGCAGAAGTTTGACAAGAAGGAACGCGAGTGTGAGGCCAAGACCCAGGAGAAGGAGGACATGATGCAGACACTGAATAAGATGAAGGAGAAGCTGGAGAAGGAGTCCAGCGAACACAAGCAGGTCAAGCAGCAAGTGGCCGACCTCTCCGCCAGGCTGCATGACCTCAGCACTGTACGTTTGTTTGTTTGTTTACATTTACATTACATTTTAGTCATTTAGCAGACGCTCTTATCCAGAGCGACTTACAGTTAGTGAGTGCATATATTTTTCATACTGGCCCCCCGTGGGAATCGAACCCACAACCCTGGCATTGCAAGTGCCATGCTCTACCAACTGAGCTACAGGAGGCCTAGTGTGAGCTAGATCTCTGTTCTAGCTCACAATGGGGATATATTCCAAGAGTCCATGGAAAAACATAGAAAATACAATAGCATCACAAATCTTTACACCTTATTCCTCCTTTTAGCTTTTCCAATCAGGAATAAAGGCAGGATGTTTTGGTTATAGTACAGTTGTATATGAACAACAACATGGCCTGCTGTCTTGCGAATTCCTGTGGTCATTGTCATGCTAAACAACAACCATAGGAGTTGGCTATACAGCACAAACAAATCTGGGAACAGGCTAATGTCCTCTTTTCCCCTTAGTCGTTCAGTTTAGGAGTGGATACACAGGATGTTTGGTTACAGCACAGTTAGACATGAACATCAACACAACAACATTGCCTTGTGATGTTCTTCCAAATCAATATATGTTGATTAGAACTGCTCTAGCTAGTACAGAGTGCTTCTATGATTTCCATTATGTAACATAGTAAGTATTGTAGTACATCCAGTACAAATCGAATGTACATCCCAATGTGTCCCATTTTTTTCAGAGGCCAAATCCATGTGTTCCTGGTGGCCCTCCACTCATACCTGGGGCCCCTGGAGGTCCCATACCACCCCCTCCCATGCAGGCTGCGATGCCCCCCCCCCCTCCACCACCCCCTGGGGGCATGCCTCCACCGCCACCCCCTCCACCCGGTGGACCTCCACCTCCTCCAGGCATGGCTCCCCTTGGTCCCCCTCCTCCCCCTGGAGCTCCCATGGGACCTGGGCTGAAAAGGAAGAACATCCCCCAGCCCTCCAACCCACTCAAGTCATTCAACTGGGCCAAGCTGGCTGAGGTCAGTGAGTTCTGCTTAGTCAGACCGTAAAGGTTTGCATCCAAAATGGCACCCTATTCCCTATGAAGTGCACTACTTTTGACCAGAGCCCTATGGACCATAGTCAAAAGTAATGCACTTAATAGGGAATAGGGTGTCATTTTGGACAAAGCCAGTAATTGAATTGTTTTTGTACATTTCTGTCCAGTACAGAGGGAGTGAGTGTTGTGCTGATGAGGCAGACAGAACATAGAGGTTTTTGTAGCTACATCTCAGACTGTCCAGGGGGAATGAAGGATAAGGATTGCCTTTTTACCCAATGCTTTATCTCTTGCATTGTTTGCACAATTGCATGAAATCAATATAGCAAACAAGCCCTAGACGTGTTTATATGTTGTTGTTGTAACCTCTAGAATTCCAGGGGTGTATGTATGGCCTGTATTGTTGTCTCAGCTTTTAAAGTCTTAGTTATGGATGGGGGCTGTTTTGTTTTATTGCAGAATAAGCTGGAGGGCACTGTGTGGACGGACGTCGATGACATCAAGGTTTTCAAAATCCTGGACCTTGAGGACATCGAGAAGACCTTCTCTGCATACCAGAGACAGCAGGTACAGTTTAACACCTAAGTACCAAAGTATTACTGTAGAGAAAAGGCATTTCAGTATATAGCAATTCATCCTTAAGGACAGGACACAAGACCCTGAATCACTTCTTAACAATTTGCATGTAACTACTCTGAGCGTTTCCATGGCCACCGACCATGCTGTTCCAACAAACACTTCTAGCTAGTGATAAACACATGCATGCCATTGCACTCTGTAACTGAATCGTTCCAGCAGCACTTCTCAACACATTGTCTGGAACTGGCTTAAAGGGAAATCAGGCCATTACAGAGCATTTTACGATAGCCTGGTGTCAGATCAGTTTGTTTTGTCTTGCCAACTCCTATGGTGACAATGACCAAAAGGCTTGGCAAGATAGCACAAACAGATCTGGGACCAGGCTAGCTTTTTTTTTAGGTCTGTTCAATTGAATCATCTACCTTGTGAGTGTTCCTGGGAACCAGACGGAAGGAATGTTTGGAACAGGAAGTAGCCATGCTGATAACATGGTCCTTGGATAGTTTACTAGTGCTGCATGAGAAGCGTGGCATATTTCATTAAGCCTCTATTATGTCCATTAAGCCTCTATTATGTCCACAATGTCTACTGTAGTTCAGTTTAAATCCTCCAGATATCACTTTCCCCATACCTTTTCCCTTAACCAACCTAATAAGACTGTGATTGGAAAGGTTAGACTAGGGCCCAATTCCCATTACTAACTGCCCCTAAGAGTATAAAGAAAGTTGCGTCAAATTTAATTAATTTTGTCGTATAAGGAATTTATTAATTTTAAGCCATACTGTTTATGATGTGTCTGAAAAAAGTTAATTTGCATCTCTGACTCATGATTCCGCTTTTCCTCACAAACAAATGCATCGCTGGCCGCTGATCTGGCCCTGTAATTCACCATACATAGCCTACTGCACGCTTGTTCTAATTAATAATGAATGCCGAATCTTCCTTGCTTCCTGCCCACCCGCCTGTTTAGGACTTCTTAACAATGAACAATAACAAGGTGAGTGATCTTTTGACCTCTGACTCCTCTGTGACCTTTACCCTGCTCTGCTTCTGTGACGCATCTGTCTTGATGCTCGCTACCGTCCTTCATTGTACGCTACTCTCTCTCTCTCTCTCTCTCTCTCCTTAACTCTGTCCTGTTTATGTCTAAGGGGATCGTGTGTCTCTGTGTGTATGTGTGTCCGTAGGTGAACTAATTGTGAAAGCCATGTCTTCCTGCAGTCTCGATCTCTGTGTTTCTGTGGATTTATCCTTTCAATCAAGACTTTTGGAATATACTGTATTTCTAAACACACCAACATGTTGTTTGAATGAACTATTTCAGTTTTATTGGTTACCATTTCAAGATGTTTCTGAGCATAATTAGCCAAATTGGTTTTGAGGCACGCAGTCAATTCTGCAAGCAGCTGGAGTCTTGCAACTATAAAAAGTGCTAGATATCCGTTTTCCAAAAACAAAATCTCTCCTGTATTCTTGGGGTGAAGCAATTGATCGCCAAACACACCATTTCACACAGCCTGTTTCCCAGCTGTCCTCCATTTGGCAGTTTCAAATACTGACCCAGTCAAAGGAACAATTTGGAACAATTTGCTGTTTTATGTTCATACTGTGTGTCTCCTGTGCACCCTGGGTTTATGTTGCATGCATATGGATATCATGTCTGTGTGTTTGTGCGTGTGCATGTGCGTGCGTGTGTGTGCGAGCGTGTGCATTTGTGCGTGTGTGTGTGTGTGTGTGTGTGTGTGTGTTGGTTACTATGCACCATAGTTTTTAATATGAGACAGCAGGTGGTGAAATGGAAGAGGCCTTAATAAAAACACTTCTTCCTATTGCCGTTGATCAACAGCTAAACTGTTTGCAGGTGTGAGTCAGCCACAGCCCTCCACCTAGCATAGTTTAGGGCACTGTTATTCCTGGATCTTATTCATTACGCACAAATTTGAAGAATACTGTCTGAAACAGGGAACTTGGGGTTGTACAATAGAAAATGCACATTTTAGTTTTCCGTTGCAAAACATTTTGTTACGTGCGCCCTAATGAATACAACCCTGGTGTATTAGGTGTGGTTCTTCCTCCCAGAGAGAGTATCATTAAGGTCATGTAGTCAAAAGCATTTGCTGCGTTCAGCAAATACTGCATCCAAAAGTGCTTAAGTATGACGAGTGATTTACAATTGGGTGTTTATTAAACAGTAAAGCTGTCTAAATCTAGCTTGATGGTAGAGAGTATCGTTTAAGGTCATGTACAGTAGTACAACAAGAATTAGCTGTTTTCTGCATACTAGCCTCCATCCAAAAGTGCCTTAGTGTGATAAATTATACAATATTGTGTGTTTATATGAACGGAATGTGAAGTTCAGCTAATTACGGTTCATGTTCAAACTCTTCCTTCCCTCCCAAATGTTCTCCTTCCAGAAAGAGTCCGAAGATGACACGGTGACCTCCAAGAAGGTCAAGGAGCTGTCAGTCATCGACGGTCGCAGAGCCCAGAACTGTAACATCCTCCTCTCTCGGTTAGTATTTGACCTTTTTACCCCATGATGACAAGGCAGAAGTATGTTCTACTTATATTAGTGGAGATCACTTATTGTGATTGTATCCATCTGATGGGTGCTTGAAATGTCTCTTTCCACACACATGCATGTATGCACACATACACACACACACACACACACTTAATTTGTTACCGTACACAGCCAAGTTACATTAAATTCAAATTGAATCTACCATTTGAGCAATTCTTTATTTTCATCAACTTCGACTCGAGTTGAGGGATAATTTTTCATATTTGACAATGTGTTTAAACATCAAGTGCAGCCAAGAATTATATATGTACTTTGTAACGGGATGATGTTGGCCAGGAACTATTTTCTGTTTCATTACCGTCATCCCTGGTCTCCATGGGAGCAACCTCAAACAAAGAGGCCTGTGTCCTTTCTACTAAGTTAATTTCATGTAGCTATCATTCTCAATTTAACCACTGCGAATGAAACCTGAAAGTTTAAGTGATTCAGCTATTTTGATTGCTTCCTGTATTTAAAGTCTCATTCAATATTTGCGGTTGATGAACAGCGGTTCATTCCTTTTTTCGAACTTGCAGACCTGAAAATATTATTTTCTGCAAAGTGCCATCAATTATGCATTAACATGCCTTTTCAGTCTTAGCCAACACTTTGAATAAGGCAGATATGTATTTAATAATATTGACATGACTGAACCTTAATTGCTCTGTCATTAGTGTGTGCCTAAATCCGCTATGCTGACTGTGAGAAGTCCTGTCAGAAAGCACCGTGGTCTGCTGTGGTAGGCTAGGGCTTCAGGCCCAACTCCTTTAGAGTTGTGGGTCGGTGGGTGGGTCGTTCTTTGGTTTGGGGCCCAAGTCTTTTAGAGCCGTATGTTTTTTACTGGTAGATGATGAGTGTGTTTGTTTGCCAGTGGAGCTTTTCAAAGAGCAGAACCACCAGGCTTTCTGTCACCTGCTCTCTCTGGCTGGCTGGGGGCTAATACCTGTGACTTAAAATATTGACCCTGTTTCTGCAACTGCTGAATGTGCGGCACAGGTTATTTAGCTTTGGACTTCACTCTCTTTTTAACTGACACTTAGTGCTTTTCAAAATGGATACTAATTGATAATTGTTTGAGGTGACACATGTAGAACAGTACATTACATAACATGAATGCATTGTACATTACTTTTGAAATGAAAAGGAAACACACCAATAACAAGGCATTAACTGGTACAACTGGTCAAACTGGTGTCCTCTCTTATTGACTATTTAGAACTGGTGTACAGTAATCCACTGTGGTAATGCTGTTGTGTTGCAGGCTGAAGCTGACCAATGAGGAGATCAAGAGGGCCATCCTGACTATGGACGAACAGGAGGATCTGCCCAAAGACATGCTGGAGCAGGTGGGCCCTCTCTCACTCATACAGCATGTAGCCCTCCTCTCTACAGTAGTGGCTTAATGGCTTTATACCATATAGCAAGTCCCAATTCCCATCTGATCCATCCCTCTAACCCTTCGATGTTTGCAGATCTGAAGGGTCTGGATAGGTATAAGCAGCTTCCACCATTTTGCTTCCACCTTACAGATCTGTTAGACGCTGATCACAGGCCTCAACAAGAGCACAGATCATATTATTGCCTGGGTAATTGGTTTATAATATATCCTTTTTAGGGAGCACTGTGTTCTTTTTCTACTCTGATTGAAGGACAACACACAGGCCAAATGTATCACGAAATTCCACAGAACTGTGTAAGCCAATAATTGCTTTGATGATGACTAATTGATGACATGTAATCTTAAAACTCAGCAATTTTGTTAGTTTGTCACGTTTTCTTCCTTCCTCGTCCCCTGTTAAACTTTTCTCAAAACCACTGAGCCTTCATGTTCTTTGTCGCCCCATAATTATGACAGTGACTAGGTGAAATACTATAGTAATTTCAAATAGATGTAAGAGTAATTGAAGGCTAATCCAGTTTTATAAGACTTTTCATTGCTGTTGCTTTAGGGACCTAAATAAAGAAAGGCTGAAGTGTTCACGGGGACTGGGTTAGTGACGGATTGGAGTATTTGTTGTGGTGGGGCACCACCCGGCCCGGCCTGGATGGTGTAGGTTTTTTAGCAAGGGTGTAAAGCATCTGAATGCTGTTAGTTGGAATACTGCGTGCCTGGCTGCCATGTCTGTTCTGAGTTCTGCCAACCTGATCCATCTGTTCTATGGAACAATACCAAAGTTCTACGAGTTCTACGTCTGAGTCATTTCAACATCATTTACATTCAAAGCACAGAGACAATTTATTTCCAGCAGCAGATGGGGTTACCACACCTGCATGTCTTTTCAATTATAATAATTAATCATTGATTGGCTTTTACAAACGCTCAAAACTCTTTACTTAGTAAGGGGGAAACTCGCCTTACCTTACATTTTACGGCAGAAAGCTCACCACACATCAGCTATCACAGTGAAGAGATGGGGATTGGTGTGTGGGATGTCCAAGATCTCTCTTGATAATGGTCTTCTCCCCCTGTCCTGTTCCTGTCCAGCTGCTGAAGTTTGTCCCAGAGAAGAGTGACATGGATCTCCTGGAGGAGCACAAGCATGAGCTGGACCGCATGGCCAAAGCTGACCGCTTCCTCTACGAGATGAGCAGGTACAGACTTCGTTTCGGTATCATGATACACCATTGGTACTGCTACATTGTGTATCACTACATTCCCCATATTAGGCACTAGCCACAGGATGTTCTTTTGTTGTTTGTTAGTATACTGTAGAGTGGAAAATACTCAGGTGCTCTCAGATGACAATGGAAGTTGACTGAAATACTACTTAATTGTTAATATGTAGTCTTCATCAGGGACTTTCTCCTTTGTCGGTTTACTGTAACAACACTTTCTGTGTTTATAGTATTGTATTAAAATGGCCGTTAACAGGAATTGACACAGATCACTGAGCGGATTCGATTATGCTGGTCTATGGCCCGTGACGAGAATGGGCAAAAGTGGTGAGGGAGGAGCGCCCTTCTCAAATCGAACAGTAATATGCGCCGCTCGGTCATGTTGTCAACAAGGCAGCATGGTGCATCGTCCAGAAACATACAACATCTCTTTTCCATAAAATATGTTTGAATTTTCAAATTAGTTTTCATTGGGAAGGCAGATTAAGCGTTTTTATCAAAAGCAATCACTTTTGCATGTGAACACACAGACTCCTACTCATTACTCCTCGTGCTTAATTACGTCACTTTTGTTTTGAGCCGACTTCACCGTGGGCTTTGAACGGGGCACCTTGCTCATGCCCGGAGACAGCCCGGTTCCAAAACGAATGCAATCGACTTTCACCCGGTGCAAAACACGCCTGCCTGGGCCAGATTAATCGAATCCACTCATTGTGATGACACTAGGAGCATATGTAAACAGCAGGACACACAGTGACACATGCTAGCTGGATGTCGACGTCTTTTTAACACAAATCTCTTTGGCATTTCTAACTGCTGAGGGACATCACTGCCAGACATTAAGTTGTGACCCAAATGTGCCAGTGAAGGCCATTGGTCCTGTGAGGGTTTGGGGAGTGTAGAAGGATTGGGATCGTTCTTTAGTAAATACAATTAACAGCACTGCATTTGGCCCTGTGTAGGGAAAATAGATGTATTACCTTTTGGAGTGCTGTCCAGTAACCAAAAGGTCGCTAGTTCGAAACTCTGAGCCAACAAGGTGAAAAATATGTCTGTGCCCTTGAGCAAGGCACTTAACTCTAATTGCTTGAGGGACGCTGTTGATAATGGCTGACCCTGGCCACTCCCCGAGGGTGTCTCAGGGGGAGTTGGGATATGCAAAAAACACATTTCCATTTCAAACCCTGTGAAACAAGACAAATATAAGCACCCACCAAATTATTATTATTATGTTTAAAGTATAATATGTGAGTGAGTAAATTGTTTATTTGGATTATTCTTTAACATGATTCACTGTCTACGAGCTAAGGGGGAGGCTGTGGTTGAGGGGGAGGCTGGTGCGTAGGTGGCGGCAGGCAGCTGAACTTTCCATGTACCTCATATTGTTAATGAATTAACATGAAACCCCCTGGGGAGACATTCTCGGCTCGCGCAGAAACAAAGACCGAAACCCCAGGGATAGGGCTTACTGTTTTAAAAGCTCTCGCTTTAATGAGCATTCTGTGTTACAAATGAAGATTGGATTACTAGATTAAAGGAAGGAAATCAATGCAGGTTCTAATGTACAAGTGCAGCACCAGTACCATTTTTTCCATGATGTAGAAAGCCGTTTACTATGGGAATAGACTTCCTTCCAGGATCTGGCGTCGTTTGTGTTTTGGCTTCCTGAAAACATTGTAGCCATGGAAACAGCATTTGGGCAGGGAGAAGGAAAGGAGCTTCTTTATTAAATGTGCTCTGAGTTTTTCATGTTGGGTATTTAATCCAGTAAAATAATTTGGGAAAGATGTATGTTTTCTGTCTGGTCACAAAACCTCAAATGTATGAACAAAACCAAAAAAAGTGTATTTCTATTCAAAAGTTCATGCCCTTCATATAGGACGTCATATCATAATACACAACCGTTTCAGTGAAGTGCCAGGATAACAACCTCTCCCTCAACGTGATCAAGACAAAGGAGATCACGCCTCTTGTAGCTCAGTTGGTAGAGCATGGCGCTTGCAACGCCAGGGTTGTGGGTTCGATTCCCACGGGGGGCCAGTATGAAAAATGTATGCACTCACTAACTGTAAGTCGCTCTGGATAAGAGTGTCTGCTAAATGACTAAAATGTAAGAATTAGATGATTGTGGACTACAGGAAAAGGAGGACCAAACATGCCCCAATTCTCATCCACGGGGCTGTAGTGGAGCAGGTTGAGAGCTTCAAGTTCCTTGGTGTCCACATCACCAACAAACTATCATGGTCCAAACACAACAAGACAGTCGTGAAGAGGGCACAACAAAGCCTATTCCCCCTCAGGAGACTGAAAAGATTTGGCATGGGTCCTCAGATCCTCAAAAAGTTCTACAGCTGCACCATCGAGAGCATCCTGACTGGTTGCATCACTGCCAGGGATGGCAACTGCTCAGCCTCCGACCGCAAGGCACTACAGAGGGTAGTGCATACGGCCTAGTACATCACCAATCTTCCTGCCATCCAGGACCTCTATACCAGGCGGTGTCAGAGGAAGGCCCTAAAAATGGTCAAAGACTCCAGCCACCCTAGTCATAGACTGTTCTCTCTGCTACCGCACAGCAAGCGGTACCAGAGTGCCAAGTCTAGGTCCAAAAGGCTTCTTAACAGCTACTCGCCACAAGACTCCTGAACAGCTAATCAAATGGCTACCCGGACTATTTGCATTGCCCCCCCCAACCACCCCCTCTTTTACGCTGCTGCCACTCTCTGTTTATTATCTATGCATAGTCACTTTAACTCTACCTACATGTACATATTACCTCAATTACCTCGACTAACCTGTGCCCCTGCTCATTGACTCTGTACCGGTACCCCCTCTACCGGCTTCTCTAATGTTATTTTACTGCTGCTCTTTAATTATTTGTTATTTATTTTTATTTTTTATTTTTTACTTTTCAATTTTTTACTTAACACTTATTTTTCTTAAAACTGCATTGTTAGTTAAGGGCTTGTAAGTAAGCATTTCACTGTAAGGTCTACACCTGTTGTATTCGGCGCATGTGACAAATACAATTTGATTTGATTTGTATGTAAACTCTAAATAATATTTTCACTTCTAACTACAATACAGGATCAACCATTACCAGCAGAGGTTGCAGTCCCTCTACTTCAAAAAGAAGTTTGCTGAAAGAATCATCGAAGTCAAACCTAAAGTTGAAGGTAGGATCAAATAATCTACCTTTAAACCATTTTAATAACTGGTTGGACTGTGGAGTCAAATGTAATCATACTGTAATGAGAAATGCTGGCAATACTCAAAGCCTGCAGATCTATGGTGTTAAAAGTACACTATATATACAAAAGTATGTGGACACCCCTTCAAATGAGTGGATTCTGCGATTTCAGCCACACCTGTTGCTGACAGGTGTATAAAATCGAGCACACAGCCATGCAATCTCCATAGACAAACATTGGCAGTAAAATGGCCTTACTGAGGAGCTTAGTGACTTCCAATGTGGCACCATCATAGGAGGCCACCTTTCCAACAAGTCAGTTCGTAAAATTTCTGCCCTGCTAGAGCTGGAAACATCTAGGAGCAACAACGGCTCAGCCACGAAGTGGTAGGCCACACAAGCTCATAGAACGGGACTGCAGAGTGCTGAAGCACGTAAAAATCGTCTGTCCTCGGTTGTAACACTCACTACTGAGTTCCAAACTGCCTCTGAAAGCAATGTCAGCACAATAACTGTTCGTCGGGAGCTTAATGAAATGGGTTTCCATAGTCCATAGCACACAAGCCTAAGATCACCATACGCAATGCCAAGCGTTGGCTGGAGTGGTGTAAAGCTCGCCGCCATTGGACTCTGGAGCAGTGGAAACGCGTTCTCTGGAGTGATGAATCACGCTTCACCATCTGGCAGCCCGACGGACTAATCTGGGTTTGGCGGATGCCAGGAGAACGCTACCTGCCCGAATGCAATGTGCCAACTGTAAAGTTTGGTGGAGGAGGAATAATGGTCTGGGGCTGTTTTTCATGGTTCGGGCTAGGCCCCTTAGTTCCAGTGAAGGAAAATCTTAATGCTACAGCATACAATGACATTATAGAAGCATGACAATGCCCCAGTGCACAAAGCGAGGTCCATACAGAAATGGTTTGTCGAGATCGGTGTGGAAGAACTTGACTGGCCTGCACAGAGCCCTGACCTTAACCCCATCGAACACCTTTGGGATGAATTGGAATGCCGACTGTGAGCCAGGCCTAATCGCCCAACATCAGTGCCCGACCTCACTAATGCTCTTGTGGCTGAATGGAAGCAAGTCCCCGAAGCAATAATCCAAAATCTAGTGGAAAGCCTTCCTAGAAGAGTGGAGGCTGTTATAGAAGCAAAGCGGGGACCAACTCCATATTAATGCCCATGATTTTGGAATGAGATGTTCGTCGAGCAGGTGTCCACATACTTTTGGTCATGTAGTGTATGTATGAGCCTTTATGGGAATAGGATGCCATTTGGGATTCAACCAATGTCTTATCCTCATAATGGTAACTTCTTCTTCCTCTCCCCAGCTCTGACCAGGGCCTCTAAAGAGGTGCTACAGAGCCGCAACCTCAAGCAGCTTCTGGAGGTGGTCCTGGCCTTTGGTAACTACATGAACAAGGGCCAGAGGGGAAACGCCTATGGCTTCAAAGTGTCCTCACTCAACAAGATCGCTGACACCAAGTCCAGCATTGACAAGTAAGAAATGGTCTGGCTTGAGGCTTTTTCTATTTATCATATATATATATATATATACAGTACCAGTCAAAAGTTTGGACACACCTACTCATTCCAGGTTTTTTTTAATTTTTACTATTTTCTACATTGTAGAATAATAGTGAAGACATCAAAACTATGAAATAACACATATGGAATCATGTAGTAATCAAAAAAGTGTTGAACAAATCAAAATATATTTCATATTTGAGATTCTTTAAATAGCCACCCTTTGCCTTAATGACAGCTTTGCACACTCTTGGCATTCTCTCAACCAGCTTCACCTGGAATGCTTTTCCAACAGTCTTGAAGGAGTTCCCACATATGCTGGGCACTTGTTGGCTGCTTTTCCTTCACTCTGCGGTCTGACTCATTCCAAACCATCTCAATTGGGTTGAGGTCGGGGGATTGTGGAGGCCAGGTCATCTGATGCAGCACTCCATCACTCTCCTTCTTGGTAAAATAGCCCTTACACAGCCTGGAGGTGTGTTGGGTCATTGTCCTGTTGAAAAACAATGATAGTCCCACTAAGCCCAAACCAGATGGGATGGCGTATCGCTGCAGAATGCTGTGGTAGCCATGCTGGTTAAGTGTGCCTTGAATTCTAAATGAATCACAGACAGTGTCACCAGCAAAGCACCCGCACACCATAACACCTCCTCCTCCATGCTTTACGGTGGGAAATACACTTGCAGAGATCATCCGTTCACCCACACCGCGTCTCACAAAGCCATGGAGGTTGGAACCAAAAATCTCCAATTTGAACTCCAGACCAAAGGACAAATTTCCACCGGTCTAATGTCCATTGCGCATGTTTCTTGGCCCAAGCAGGTTTCTTCTTCTTATTGGTGTCCTTTAGTAGTGGTTTCTTTGCAGCAATTTGACCATGAAGGCCTGATTCACACAGTCCCCTCTGATCAGTTGATGTTGAGATGTGTCTGTTACTTGAACTCTGTGAAGCATTTATTTGGGCTGCAAACTGGTAACTCTAATGAACTTATCCTCTGCTGCAGAGGTAACTCTGGGTCTTCCTTTCCTGTGGCGGTCCTCATGAGAGCCAGTTTCATCATAGTTCTTTATGTTTTTTGTGACTGCACTTGAAGAAACTTTAAAAGTTCTTGAAATTTTCCGCATTGACCTTCATGTCTTAAAGTAATGATGGACTGTCGTTTCTCTTTGCTTATTTGAGCTGTTCTTGACATAATATGGACTTGGTCTTTTACCAAATAGGGCTATCTTCTGTATACCCCCCTTACCTTGTCACAACACAACTGATTGGCTCAAACGCATTAAGAAGGAAAGAAATCCCATAAATTAACTTTTAAGAAGCCACACCTGTTAATTTAAATACATTCCAGGTGACTACCTCATGAAGCTGTTTGAGAGAATGCCAAGAGTGTGCAAAGCTGTCATCAAGGCAAAGGGTGGATATTTGAAGAATCTCAAATATAAAATATATTTTGATTTGTTTAACACTTTCTTGGTTACTACATGATTCCATATGTGTTATTTCATAGTTTTGATGTCTTCACTACTATTCTACAATGTAAAAAATAGTAAAAATAAAGAAAAACCTTGTAATGAGTAGGTGTGTCCAAACCTTTGACTGGTAGTGTATATTAAAAAATAGATATATTTAAAAAATCCCTTTGAGATATGTGTGATGTATATGATGTTTGTGTTTGTAGGAACATCACTCTGCTGAATTACCTTATCACCATCCTGGAGCAGAAGTATCCCAAAGTGGCCGTGTTTCAGGAGGAGCTTCATAATGTTCCAGAGGCAGCTAAAGTCAAGTAAGAACTGCTGCTAAGGTTGACTGAATCAGAACCCCCCTCCACCCCCAACACACACACACACACCACCGATACTGTTTCATAATCCTAAATTGCTTTCATGTCTGTGTAGTAACTGTGTGTAATTACCCTTATAACAACATTGTAAAAGTTGAGTCTTCCTCGCTAAGCCTAATTGATGGTGCCTGACTTTAAGTAGAATAGGTGAAAGGTTAAGACCGTATTGCTGTGTGTGTTACCTTACAAACTGTGTTTACAGAGAGGGTCAAAGGTCATGTTTATATTGTCTGGATGTGTCAGAGGCACAGGTTGTTCTACTTGCCCCTATTTCAAATGTGGAAAGTGTGAACTGTGAACCATACAACCCTCGGTAGGTCAAGGTGTTTCCTGTTTTACCACAAGAAATAGTATAGCAGACAGCATAATCCATAGATTTAGGGAAACTTAAAAAAGTAAGAAAACAGGTCACAAATAAAGATAATCTACGTTAGTTTCTGCTAAAACCTAGTGAACCCTGAATATATGCCTTTCCTGACTGAGAAGGGAGGAAGTTGGGTTTTATTGTCTCACATTTCATGTCTCTAAGTTGTGGCTTGATTGGAGCACAGATGGTTTGTAATTGTTTCATGTGAATAAACTCCAGTCCCTCTCCTCTCGTCCACAGTATGACAGAGCTGGAGAAAGACATCAACAATCTGCGCTCTGGTCTGAAGAGTGTGGAAACGGTTAGTGGCCATTTCTATTGGTTTCCCTTAATGAAGGCACACATGATATCACAGGCAGTATAATTAGCCTTACACTCCTCTACCATGGGCATGGTACTGTACTCTTGTGTTGTGGGTTGTCTGATGACAGTCATGTACTTCTCCTGTAATGCTGTTCACTGTAGGAGCTGGAGTTCCAGAGAGGTCTTCCTCGGGTTTCGGGGGATAAGTTTGTGTCTGTGGTGAGCCATTTCATCACTGTGGCCAGCTTCAGCTTTTCAGACGTGGATGATTCTCTGACCGAGGCCAAGGAGCTGGTGAGAATGGGGGGCAGAGGGCTGGGGGCCATGATGTCTGTCTGTCTGTCTGTCTGTCTGTCTGTCTGTCTGTCTGTCTGTCTGTCTGTCTGTCTGTCTGTCTGTCTGTCTGTCTGTCTGTCTGTCTGTCTGTCTGTCTGTCTGTCTGTCTGTCTGTCTGTCTCTCTGTCTGTATCTGAGGGTCGGGCATTGAAAAAGTATTACTATAATGGACAAAGCCCTTCAGACCACGGCAACTTGACAGGAACACTCATGGGTACACTCAATATGGGCGTTGGTTCACCCATCACAGAACACTAACTTGGAATGTACATTCTAGTAGTTGTATTTCTATGGGGTTGGGGTTGGGGTCGTGTTGTCCATCTGTCCCCTCCTCCTTCTCTCCACAACTAGGAGCTCTGATAGAGCTATAAAAATAATAGATGGGCAGCACAAATGGCAAATCCTGTAACTTGATGCTTGGCCACATAACCAAGTAGGTAGCACAGTCTTCTTACTGCAGCTTTGAAGTCACCTTTTAAAGTTAGAAACAACCCATATACTTGGAAATGCTAGGAGGACGTAGTAACTCACGTACAGTATGTTAAAGGCTTACAGTCTACCTGTGTGGACATTGGAACCTCTGAATATAGGCAGTTAATGTTTAACTAAGATGGGTCAAGGCTATCCGTTTCAAAGCCACGGTTTCCCCCGATCCCCTTCCTCTCTAGTGCCATGTGGAATGTATTTGATACGTGTGCAGGGGATAGAGGGTTATTTATGTGTCAAATTACACTTTACAATGGCAGGGAAGAGGAAACCATCTCTGTTGGGAGTAGACCTAGGGTCAAATACTATTTGAAATCTTTCAAATACTGAGTGTTTGCCCTTCCCTGTCTGGAGTTTCAGGTGAACTTTTGCAGCTATTCTGTTGGTTCCAATGTGCCAGACAAGCTCAATCAAGCCCAGATAAAGTATTAGGTATGATTTCAAATAGTATTTGAACCCAGGTGTGATGGGGGTAGGGTCTGTTTTAAAGCTAGATTAATCAACCAGGCAACAAGGTCTCTCACATTCATCCCCAGTGTATCACTGAAAGAATGTTCACCTACATTCACACTGAATCACCTGTGACACATTGACTGTATATTATTACATCTTGATGAAGGATCACAAATACTCATTTTCCCTTCCAGGAAAGGCAGTTTGACCATCTTGAAGTACTTGATGTCTACCTTTGTTTTCTCTCCAGTTTCTGAAGGCAGTGCAGCATTTTGGGGAGGATGCAACCCGTATGCAGCCTGACGAGTTCTTTGGAATCTTCGACCAATTCCTGCAGGCGTTCGCTGACGCCAAGCAGGAGAATGAGAACATGCGCAGACGCAAGGAGGAAGAGGAACGACGGACCCGCATGGAAGCACAGGTTAGATTGTTAAGAATGTCTATCTCCGACCACAACACTAGAGAGAGTCACCTACGGTCACCATTTCACCACCCAGTCATTATGTAACAATTATTACAAATGGGTATCAAACTAGTGTTGTTTGTGAGATTACACAATACGCGATCTACTGTTGACCTAGACACACTCAAATGTGTGTAGGTCAAGAGTAGTGCTCATTTACTCAATACACCAAATTCAACTGCCACACACTCTCTATGCTACTGTAGGTGAGAGTCACTAAGTTCCTCCTGTTTTGTCCCCTCAGCTTAAGGAGCAGAGGGAGAAGGAGCGCAAGGCCAAGAAGTCAAAGGAGAACTGTGAGGAGGACGGTGAATTCGACGACCTGGTTTCAGCCCTGCGCTCTGGGGAGGTGTTCGATAAGGACTTGTCCAAGATGAAACGCAACCGCAAACGCGTCAACTCATCAGCTGAGACCAGCAGGGAGCGACCCGTCACCAAACTGAACCTCTGAAACAGCTGACAACTGATCCTGTCTTACTGGAGCTAAGCTATGCTTCCCTCTGGTGGCCTGGCATGAGCCTAGCGCCCCCTCATTTGGGAGTGGACAGAATTCACTGCTAAAACGGAACTGAGCAGGAAAGGTGGTGGACAGACCTCTACTTACTCTTCTGCTACTCAAGCAACAATAACCCAGAGCTTGTGTCTGTCTGGAAACAGACATAGAAGATATTACCTCCTCTTAAAACCATGAACTATGGATAAGGAGTGACTCTCTAAGCTATTTGTGTTAATTGCCAAAACCTACCCTTTTAAAATGCTGTGGTCTGAATGACAGCTTTGCTCATGTCGTGGATGGGACACTTTTTAATAGCATAGGGCTGTTGCCCTGGAGTAGGACGCTCTTCTTGACCGTTCCTGCCTGTAAAAATTAGCAGGAAGTGGAATGGAAAGCCAGGGGTCACACACACACACCGCCTGCGACACATTTCCTCTTTTAAACGGGAGAAAGTGGAACATCTTTCCTGCTATTGTGTTGTCATTCAGTCAGACACCCTAGAGAGTATAGTAGAGGATGTCAACCCCATGCAGAGAAACACAGTGTCTCTTGAAGCACAATCCAGCATGTATGAATTATGTTTTTGAGATAAGCAAAAAAGCAATACATTTTGATACTGTTTTTATCACACAATTTTTCAAAGACTTAATTTAGATATTTAAAACCAAATCACAGATGCAATATTACCATTTTATTAGAGCCTATAACTTTCTTTTTTTTAAATAATCCATTAGAACTGCAATATACAGTATTGTCGAAGAGTTACCAAAAATAATTGCTCTTCCTCTGGTCATCCTAACACACTGAGGATATCAGTCTGGAAACTATGCAGCCCAACATGTTGAGTTTTGTCTTTGTGTTTTGTGTTCATTACTGTCATGTATGTCTATATTATGTATATACAGTGAGGGAAAAAAGTATTTGATCCCCTGCTGATTTTGTACGTTTGCCCACTGACAAAGAAATTATCAGTCTATAATTTTAATGGTAGGTTTATTTGAACAGTGAGAGACAAAATAACAACAAAAAAATCCAGAAAAACGCATGTCAAAAATGTTATAAATTGATTTGCATTTTAATGAGGGAAATAAATATTTGACCCCCTCTCAACCAGAAAGATTTCTGGCTCCCAGGTGTCTTTTATACAGGTAACGAGCTGAGATTAGGAGCACACTCTTAAAGGGAGTGCTCCTAATCTCAGTTTGTTACCTGTATAAAAGACAGACACCTGTCCACAGAAGCAATCAATCAATCAGATTCCAAACTCTCCACCATGGCCAAGACCAAAGAGCTCTCCAAGGATGTCAGGGACAAGATTGTAGACCTCCACAAGGCTGGAATGGGCTACAAGACCATCGCCAAGCAGCTTGGTGAGAAGGTGACAACAGTTGGTGCGATTATTCGCAAATGGAAGAAACACAAAATAACTGTCAATCTCCCTCGGCCTGGGGCTCCATGCAAGATCTCACCTCGTGGAGTTGCAATGGTCATGATAACGGTGAGGAATCAGCCCAGAACTACACGGGAGGATCTTGTCAATGATCTCAAGGCAGCTGGGACCATAGTCACCAAGAAAACAATTGGTAACACACTACGCCGTGAAGGACTGAAATCCTGCAGCGCCCGCAAGGTCCCCCTGCTCAAGAAAGCACATATACAGTGCAGTCTGAAGTTTGCCAATGAACATCTGAATGATTCAGAGGAGAACTGGGTGAAAGTGTTGTGGTCAGATGAGACCAAAATCGAGGTCTTTGGCATCAACTCAACTCGCCGTGTTTGGAGGAGGAGGAATGCTGCCTATGACCCCAAGAACACCATCCCCACCGTCAAACATGGAGGTGGAAACAATATGCTTTGGGGGGGTTTTCTGCTAAGGGGACAGGACAACTTCACCGCATCAAAGGGACGATGGACGGGGCCATGTACCGTCAAATCTTGGGTGAGAACCTCCTTCCCTCAGCCAGGGCATTGAAAATGGGTCGTGGATGGGTATTCCAGCATGACAATGACCCAAAACACATGGCCAAGGCAACAAAGGAGTGGCTCAAGAAGAAGCACATTAAGGTCCTTGAGTGGCCTAGCCAGTCTCCAGACCTTAATCCCATAGAAAATCTGTGGAGGGAGCTGAAGGTTCGAGTTGCCAAACGTCAGCCTCGAAACCTTAATGACTTGGAGAAGATCTGCAAAGAGGAGTGGAACAAAATCCCTCCTGAGATGTGTGCAAACCTGGTGGCCAACTACAAGAAACGTCTGACCTCTGTGATTGCCAACAAGGGTTTTGCCACCAAGTACTAAGTCATGTTTTGCAGAGGGGTCAAATACTTATTTCCCTCATTAAAATGCAAAGCAATTTATAACATTTTTTACATGCGTTTTTCTGGATTTTTGTTGTTGTTATTCTGTCTCTCACTGTTCAAATAAACCTACCATTAAAATTATAGACTGATCATGTCTTTGTTAGTGGGCAAACGTAGAATCAGCAGGGGATCAAATACTTTTTTCCCTCACTGTATGCCCATTCCAGTGTCACCTCCTCACTTGACTCTCAAAAAATCTAGGCGGCAGTCTGCCTTCTCCCTACAGTTTTCAGCCATTAGCTTCGCCCACGACTGACTCATTTGAACTATAAACGTCAATAATAATTGCTTGCGATACAGCTTTTGAAACATATGGCCCTTATCTTTCATCAGAAAGAATCCTTCAAATAAAAAATATACACTTACTGTAGCAGTTTTGCACAGATCCAGCTATGGGTGCCTCCATCTGACAAAAGTAAACTTCCATTACACTTCCCGAACTACGCTTACACACAGGTGTTACCAGCATGCAAGATAGCTAATTAGCACAGGTGGAGATATGGCTGTGTGGGAACACTAACCCTGACCCTATCAAGGTCTGTATCAATTTAACCTTTTTTTGTTGCTGATCTGAAACATAAGGTCCTTATGCTTCCAAAACCGTACCGCAAGCGACGCACGCGTATTATTGTTCAGATTGAGCGTCGGGGCTCTTAACAAAACTCTCCCGTACAGAAGATGCCTTTGTCCAATAACTCTTATGTGTAATGTAATGTAATGGAACTGAGAGTCATGATCATGGGCTACTCCTCACTATAACATGTACAGCAGGAAGCTTTCAGTTATTTAGTCTGCCCCAATAAGTAAAACCTTTCTCAAACCTTTGGTCACATTTCTACCAACACCCTCCTTACTTAACTGTGTGATAGCATCTCTGATGTATGTAGATTCTTTCTATACAGCTTTTTTTTATTATTTAAACAACTTTCTATTTTGAAACTAAAGTAATAAACCTGGATGTCAATTATTTGTTGAATCTGTTTTATGTTTACAAGCCAAAACTACAACCAGTAATTCATCTCGGATTGTATTAATTATCTGTTGAATCTGTTTTATGTTTACAGGCCAAAACTACAACCAGTAATTCATCTCGGATTGTATTAAACTGTATTTCTGTTTTCCAGAAATAAAGACTGGTATTCATCTCAGTTATAGTAAGGAGCGTCCTCTGGTGGCCAATGTGCAAAAGTATCTATTTTACAGGTTCCATTTCCATGTTTTAAAGACATTCTTTGAGGACACGAATTTGCTTATTAATTGTATTACTTTGAATACTATTCAATTCAGAAAGCATTGTGAATAGGGACTTGGTCTCTAATAAAACCTCTGGCAAAATAGAGAGCAATAGTAATGATGTTTTTTGTAGGCACTAACTCCGCCATTTGTGAATTTTTAAGCATTTATATAATCAAAATCACATAAAGCACAAAAAGGCTTCATAATTCATAAACGTCATGTTAACTGACTGATATTATCTCATAGAACAAAATGTATAAGTTGTCCTAAGCCTGTGTTAACCTCAGACCTTATTTTCTGTTGAGTGTGAAACTGTTGAGTGTGAAAAACCCAGCAGCGTTGCACTACTACCATAACCCGTTCAAAGGCACTTCAATCTTTTGTCATGCCCATTCACCCTCTGAATAGCACCCATACACAATCCATGTCTCAAGGTAAAAAAATCCATCTTTAACCAGTCTCCTCCCCTTCATCTACACTGACTGAAGTGGATTTAACAAGGTAAATCAATAAGGGATCATAGCTTTCAACTGGATTCACCTGGTCAGTCTGTCATGGAAAGAGCAGGTGTTCTTAATTTTTTGTATACTCAGCAGGGCTCCCGAGTGGCGCAGTCGTCTAAGACACTGCATCTCTGTGCTTGAGGCATCACTACAGACCCCCTGGTTCAATTCCAGGCTGTATCACAACCGGCCGTGATTGGGGGTCCCACAGGGTGGCGCAGCGTCGTCCGGGTTTGGCGGGTGTAGGCCGTCGTTGTAAATAAGAATTTGTTCTTAACTGACATGCCTAGTTAAATAAATAAAAAATATAAGGCCTGGAGATTAAACACTATACATAGAAAACATTAATTTGATCAGTTTTAAAAGTCATAAATTTTTTTAACAAACAACTGATCACCAATAAAACAAAATTCAACTCACAGCTTGTTTTGTACACTATTAGAAAAAAAAGGGACTAGAAACATATACAGTGAGGGAAAAAAGTATTTGATCCCCTGCTGATTTTGTAAGTTTGTCCACTGACAAAGAAATGATCAGTCTATAATTGTAATAGTAGGTTTATTTGAACAGTGAGAGACAGAATAACAACAAAAAAATCCAGAAAAACGCATGTCAGAAATGTTATAAATTGATTTGCATTTTAATGAGGGAAATAAGTATTTGACCCCTCTGCAAAACATGACTTAGTACTTGGTGGCAAAACCCTTGTTGGCAATCACAGAGGTCAGACGTTTCTTGTAGTTGACCGCCAGGTTTGCACACATCTCAGGAGGGATTTTGTCCCACTCCTCTTTGCAGATCTTCTCCAAGTCATTAAGGTTTCAAGACTGACGTTTGGCAACTCGAACCTTCAGCTCCCTCCACAGATTTTCTATGGGATTAAGGTCTGGAGACTGGCTAGGCCACTCCAGGACCTTAATGTGCTTCTTTTTGAGCCACTCCTTTGTTGCCTTGGCCGTGTGTTTTGGGTTATTGTCATGCTGGAATACCCATCCACGACACATTTTCAATGCCCTGGCTGAGGGAAGGAGGTTCTCACCCAAGATTTGACGGTACATGGCCCCGTCCATCGTCCCTTTGATGCGGTGAAGTTGTCCTGTCCCCTTAGCAGAAAAACACCCCCAAAGCATAATGTTTCCACCTCCATGTTTGACGGTGGGGATGGTGTTCTTAGGGTCATAGGCAGCATTCCTCCTCCTCCAAACACAGCGAGTTGAGTTGATGCCAAAAAGCTCAATTTTGGTCTCATCTGACCACATCACTTTCACCCAGTTCTCCTCTGAATCATTCAGATGTTCATTGGCAAAGTTCAGACGGGCCTGTATATGTGCTTTCTTGAGCAGGGGGACCTTGCGGGCGCTGCAGGATTTCAGTCCTTCACAGCGTAGTGTGTTACCAATTGTTTTCTTGGTGATTATGGTCCCAGCTGCCTTGAGACCATTGACAAGATCCTCCCGTGTAGTTCTGGGATGATCTTGCATGGAGCCCCAGGCCGAGGGAGATTGACAGTTATTTTGTGTTTCTTCCATTTGCGAATAATCGCACCAACTGTTGTCACCTTCTCACCAAGCTGTTTGGCGATGGTCTTGTAGCCCATTCCAGCCTTGTGTAGGTCTACAATCTTGTCCCTGACATCCTTGGAGAGCTCTTTGGTCTTGGCCATGGTGGAGAGTTTGGAATCTGATTGATTGATTGCTTCTGTGGACAGGTGTCTTTTATACAGGTAACAAGCTGAGATTAGGAGCACTCCCTTTAAGAGTGTGCTCCTAATCTTAGCTCGTTACCTGTATAAAAGACACCTGGGAGCCAGAAATCTTTCTGATTGAGAGGGGGTCAAATACTTATTTCCCTCATTAAAATGCAAATCAATTTATAACATTTTTGACATGCGTTTTTCTGGATTTTTTTGTTGTTATTCTGTCTCTCACTGTTCAAATAAACCTACCATTAAAATGATGGACTGATCATTTCTTTTTCAGTGGGCGAACGTACAAAATCAGCAGGGGATCAAATACTTTTTTCCCTCACTGTAGGGTTCTTCATTTTGTCCTCATAGGGTAACCCTTTTTGGTGCTAGGTAGAACCCTTTGCATAGAACACTATGTAGGGTAATTCATAGAACCCCCTGTAAATGGTTCTACCTAGATCCCTCTATGAAGGGTTCTGCCGAGAATCCTTTTCTCTTTGAAGGGTTCTTCCTTGAACCCTCTATGAATGGTTCAAGCAACCTTATTAGCCTTTAAACATATTTATTTTTATGACAATTTTGCATAATCATAAAGCCTTTCTTTGAGGGCCTGGTGTTAGTGGTGTTAGAAAACTCCAGGTTTACAGGCCACATCAGGCCTGCAAGTCACATTATGCTGGTTTGCAAGGTGATGTTCAACAATTGGTACTTTTAATCACCCGCTACCTGCATTCATTATGACTTCCAGGGTATGGAAGATTGAATAATGGGACTACCTAAAGCAACTAAACTGGAACAACCATCTCAGTAACAGTAATGGGTACATAATAAAGTCTACTTACAGATTGGATTAGTTTAGAAAAACGTTTGATCTTTGTGTAGCATAAGATTATACAACCAATCAATGTACATGCAAAAACACAGGCATTGAAACAAACAATTCTGAAAATCAACCTGCAATAGAGGATACTGGGAAATATGATAATGATGGGCATGGTTTTGAGTTTTTTACTTTACACAGAGTAAAAATGACACAATCACACTCAACTCTGATTATTAACACCAACACTGGGATTATTTTACACCACTGAGTGTTAAATTAATTTAACTCCTGAATCAACACTAGAAATGTTACACTGAAAAACAACGCTAGATAAAACTGCCCGATTTGCTGTGTACCATACAATACACTGCTGGTTCACTCATACTCCTTTCTATTCTCATACTCTTTGCTCAATAAAATCACAGAAAATACTAATTTGAAAGACAGAAATCATGGCAAAGATATCAACTACAGTGGGGAAAAAAAGTATTTAGTCAGCCACCAATTGTGCAAGTTCTCCCACTTAAAAAGATGAGAGAGGCCTGTAATTTTCATCATAGGTACACGTCAACTATGACAGACAAATTGAGAAATGTTTTCTCCAGAAAATCACATTGTAGGATTTTTTATGAATTTATTTGCAAATTATGGTGGAAAATAAGTATTTGGTCACCTACAAACAAGCAAGATTTCTGGCTCTCACAGACCTGTAACTTCTTCTTTAAGAGGCTCCTCTGTCCTCCACTCGTTACCTGTATTAATGGCACCTGTTTGAACTTGTTATCAGTATAAAAGACACCTGTCCACAACCTCAAACAGTCACACTCCAAACTCCACTATGGCCAAGACCAAAGAGCTGTCAAAGGACACCAGAAACAAAATTGTAGACCTGCACCAGGCTGGGAAGACTGAATCTGCAATAGGTAAGCAGCTTGGTTTGAAGAAATCAACTGTGGGAGCAATTATTAGGAAATGGAAGACATACAAGACCACTGACAATCTCCCTCAATCTGGGGCTCCACGCAATATCTCACCCCATGGGGTCAAAATGATCACAAGAACGGTGAGCAAAAATCCCAGAACCACACGGGGGGACCTAGTGAATGACCTGCAGAGAGCTGGGACCAAAGTAACAAAGCCTACCATCAGTAACACACTACGCCGCCAGGGACTCAAATCCTGCAGTGCCAGACGTGTCCCACTGCTTAAGCCAGTACATGTCCAGGCCCGTCTGAAGTTTGCTAGAGTGCATTTGGATGATCCAGAAGAGGATTGGGAGAATGTCATATGGTCAGATGAAACCAAAATAGAACTTTTTGGTAAAAACTCAACTCGTCGTGTTTGGAGGACAAAGAATGCTGAGTTGCATCCAAAGAACACCATACCTACTGTGAAGCATTGGGGTGGAAACATCATGCTTTGGGGCTGTTTTTCTGCAAAGGGACCAGGACGACTGATCCGTGTAAAGGAAAGAATGAATGGGGCCATGTATCGTGAGATTTTGAGTGAAAACCTCCTTCCATCAGCAAGGGCATTGAAGATGAAACGTGGCTGGGTCTTTCAGCATGACAATGATCCCAAACACACCGCCCGGGCAACGAAGGAGTGGCTTCGTAAGAAGCATTTCAAGGTCCTGGAGTGGCCTAACCAGTCTCCAGATCTCAAACCCATAGAAAATCTTTGGAGGGAGTTGAAAGTCTGTGTTGCCCAGCGACAGCCCCAAAACATCACTGCTCTAGAGGAGATCTGCATGGAGGAATGGGCCAAAATACCAGCAACAGTGTGTGAAAACCTTGTGAAGACTTACAGAAAACGTTTGACCTGTGTCATTGCCAACAAAGGGTATATAACAAAGTATTGAGACATTTTTGTTATTGACCAAATACTTATTTTCCACCATAATTTGCAAATAAATTCATTAAAAATCCTACAATGTGATTTTCTGGATTTTTTTCCCTCATTTTGTCTGTCATAGTTGACGTGTACCTATGATGAAAATTACAGGCCTCTCTCATCTTTTTAAGTGGGAGAACTTGCACAATTGGTGGCTGACTAAATACTTTTTCCCCCACTGTAGGTGTTACATTTGACACAAGGTAAGTTTAGTACTAATACTATAGAAATAAACTGTGCCTCAAAGATCAAAGGGGAATCGAAAGACTGGTAATTGAGGTTGTAATATCATTCATAGCCTATTGATGCTGTAGGACACATTGATATGTGGAACATTTGCTTTAGAATTAACAAATGAAAAATTCTCATTTAGGTTCAATTACCTTTTCCCTTTGAATTAATTTTGTCATAATAAGATAGCCCAAACCTAAGGAAGCAAAGGTTGTGAAATAAACACTTGTCTGATGTGGCATAAAGTAATACATAATGCACATATATTCAAATTAGATTTTTCATCATTTTGAGTATCTTAGTATTTATAAATCACATTCTGAAAATAAGCCCTCAATAAAGTAGTTGTGTTTTTAAAGGTGTACTCTGTTCCATCACAGTGTGTAGAGCGCTTGGCGCTGCATAAAGAGTACCCAAACGCACGTTGGAACTTCATAGGACATTTATATCCCTTATCACTAATTTCTCAATTTGTTCAAAAGTTTTGCAAAATGATTCACGATTTTGACATTCATCACGCTTCTCAAAAATAAAATAATGATCACAGACTGGTATCTGCAGTTTCAACTTTTGGCACCGCGAGTTTGGACACAGTGGACCTATTGGGCTGAGCATCCCTACAGAAGAACAACGCAGGGTTATTACAAGCCCACATCGCAACCTCTCCTCTGTTCGCTGGGCTGGAGGAAGACAACCGTCTGTTAACACCGTGCCTGCTCACATACCGGTCTCTGATTCGGTCGGCCCTCGTTCTGACATCCCTGCTTTGGGTTTGTGTGGATAGGTAGGCAGGAATGTTTCGAGTCCTATATCCCTCCTTTCGGCTTCGGCCTAAAAGCAGCGATATGTTTGGGTTTCTAATTACGTAAATGAGCGGGTTTATGGCACCGTTTGCCCATGCCATCCATATGGCCAAGGTGTCCATGACAGGGTTAACGGAGTAATCCCCCACGACAGTGATGATACCCATCAGACAGTAGGGGCCCCAGCAGAAGATGATAAACACGATCATTATCAGCACTGTCGTGGCCGTCCTCATCTCACTATAAAACCGGAGTAAATTCGCATAAATTGTCACCGGCCACACCCTTATTTCTGACAACCTAACGGTCTTACAGATGTTGTAATGACAGAAACACATGAGCGCAACGGGAGGACATAACACACCACTATTAAAGCTATACTGTAAGAGGTAGGTAGCTTAGTGGTTAAGAGCGTAGTGCCAGTAACCGAAAGGTCGCTGGTTCTAATCCCCGAGCCGACTAGGTGAAAAATCTGTCGATGTGCCCTTGAGCAAGGCACTTAACCCTAATTGCTCCTGTAAGTCGCTCTGGATAAGAGCGTCTGCTAAATGACTAAAATGTAAATGTAAATGTAGGTACCCATCCTAGAGGTACCAGAGTGAAAGACATACATACAGTGGTAGAAGCCCATTTTATGGACAACTAGATCCTTGGCTGTTCGCATCACCATGTACCATGGTAAGGAGAAAAACACTGCTGTTAACCACACAGCCACCAGTAGCTGTATGGCCTTCCTCCTGCCTATCTTCTCATGAGGTTGCCTCACGATGGCATAATAGCGGTCAAAATAAATTAGAGTCATTGTCAGTGTGGAAATAATACCAAAGCATGTGTTGAAGAACCAGTTGGCGACGCAGAAGCGGTCTCCAAACATCCACACACCATCTTTGCTAAAGAACATCATTAACGAGAACGGTAAACAAAGAACGGCCGTCAAAAAAATCAGACAGTGAAAGGGACATGTTGAAAGCATTGGTAACGGTTCTCAGCTGCCGATGTTTGATTATGACAATCACCACCGCAGAATTCCCTAAACTAGAGATGAGGAAGATAGCAAGGCTTGAGCTGCCACCGTGATGCCCTGGAGGGCCGAGTTCCCTTCCGCGCTCTGTATTGGTGTGTGTTGTTGGTTCTCCTTGCCTCCGCCCGTAAGGTTTCCGAGAGTGACCTTTGTGAAAAAGCTGTGTAACACCGCTCCTATGGTGACTATTTCCAGCGTTAAACTCGTGCAAGAGGTGTTGTCCGGAGCGATAAAGTTGCTGGTGCCGAGCAATGCAATGTTCTCGGGGAAATCCATCGGACACGAATGGGGAGCCTCCACAGAATGGAAGGAGATTCATCATATGTTGTGTCTCTGTGTAGATGCAGCAGATAAGACGTGTCGCATTAAATACATTTAAATCCCAATTGCAACCCCTTTTCTATGCGCTCCTCAAGATGTTCCTCATTATTCAAACTGGTGTCCATGCCCCTTGCGTGTCCCATTCTCAGTAGACATGCGCTCCTGTTTGCAGTTCTCGCCTGATCCCCTCAATCCCCGTACTCCTGTAGCCTATCTCATATTCCTGAGTCCCCGCCTTCCTTGCGTACAATTTGTATCTTTACCCCCTTCGTGATGTTTAGAGCCGTAGCCATGGTATCAGTGATGGTTTTATATGTAGAATTAAGCACTTTCTGGATGATTAGTTATTTGGTCAGGTACCTAGGCCTCCCCACATAACAGCAGGGGCATTTATAGGATTTGAAGACATTGGGGTCTTAGCCAAAAGCCAGTAAGTGGGTCCAGGGGCGTCCTCCCCCAGCAAAAAAAATATGACATTTCAACAGCTAAATGTATGAATTTGGTGCACTTTAAGATGCACATTGAGAGATTATAACACAGAGAGATCTTTTTAAAGGGCAATTCCACCACTTTTCAAACTCATTTTGATTATCTCCAGCACAATACGAGTGTCTACATATGTGAAAACGGCACATTTCTACATTTTGTAGAAACATACACTACCAGTCAAAAGTTTGGACATACAGTTGAAGTCGAAAGTTGACATTCACCTTAGCCAAATACATTTAAACTCAGTTTTTCACAATTCCTGACACTTAATCCTAGTAAAGATTCCCTGTTTTAGGTCAGCTAGGATCACCACTTTATTTTAAGAATGTGAAATGTCAGAATAATATTAGAGATAATGATTTCTTTTAACTTTTATTTATTTCATCACATTCCCAGTGGGTCAGAAGTTTACATATACTCAATTAGTATTTGGTAGCATTGCTTTTAAATTGTTTAACTTGGGTCAAACATTTCGGGTAGCCTTCCACAAGCTTCCCACAATAAGTTGGGTGAATTTTGGCCTATTCCTCCTGACAGCGCTAGTGTAACTGAGTCAGGTTTGTAGGCCTCCTTGCTCGCACATGCTTTTTCAGTTCTGCCCACAAATGTTCTATAGGATTGAGGTCAGGGCTTTGTGATGGCCACTCCAATACCTTTACTTTGTTGTCCTTAAGCCATTTTTCCACAACTTGGGGTCATTGTCCATTTGGAAGACCCATTTGCGACCAAGCTTTAACTTCCTGACTGATGTCTTGAGATGTTGCTTCAATATATCCACATAATTTTCCTTCCTCATGATGCCATCTCTTTTGTGAAGTGCACCAGTCCCTCCTGCAGCAAAGCACCTCCACAGCATGATGCTGCCACCCCCGTGCTTCACGGTTGGGATGGTGTTCTTCGTCTTGCAAGCTTTCCCCTTTTTCCTCCAAACATAACGATGGTCATTATGGCCAAACAGTTATATTTCTGTTTCATCAGACCAGATGCAGAAGAATTCAGGAGCTCATGACCTCTCTCTCTTTCTCTCTCTCTCTCAGCCTCTCTCTCTATCTACCCTACTATCCATGAGTCATGACACATAGGCTACTTGGAACACGTTTATCCAACCTTTTATATTATATGAACATGTTGTGTGTCTGTAAAATAATTAAAATAAATACATTTTAATCATCATGTGTATTAACATTTTATCAGTATTTGTCCACTTTGCTCGATTTGGGATCTCTAGTCTGCTTGATGCATACAAACCAAAAGGGGTGAAAAAGTAAATGGGAAACCTTGTAGCAGAAGCCTTCGGTACTGGGTTTAGTATTGAAATTCTGCTGGGTCTACTTGGGAGTGGGTGGGAATTAAATAGTAGACCAGGTAGCCAAAAGGGCTTTAAAACAAGATATAATTGATATTCATGCTTCACTGGGTAGAGGTGAGGCCAAATGTAAGATTAGAGCCATTATTATAGAACAGGTGGGACAGAGCGCAAGGACCAGCATTTATATGCCTTCCAAAGAAAGGTTGGTGGACCAAGATTCAAGGGTCAGATTAGGATTGAAGAGGTGGTGTCTGCTCAGTTGTGTCTAGGACATTGTACATTAAACTCATTATATCTGGTTGGCAAGCATGCACATAGTTTGTGTGCGGAGTGTATGGTTGATGAAACAGTGAAGCATGTGTTGTTGTTTTGTTGTAAGTACTGGTAGGCCTATGTGGAAGAGGAATGATTTTCTAACTGAATCACTGGATATTAACACCGGATCGCAACCAGCTAGCCGCAACCGGATGGATGCTGCTGTTGGCTAATCACCGCTGCCCCCGAAGCTAGCACCAGTTAGCCTTGAGCTAGCCTCGAGCCAGGCCCATATCCCGGCTATCTACCTCTCTGTCTACCGGACGGCAGTAGCCAGCTAACTAGCTTCTTGCTATTAGCCACCGTTAGCGGTTTTTCACCATTGTCCGTGGCCTGCGCTACCTACCAGCCAGCTCTAGCCTGGAAAATTATCGGCCAGTCTGCACTGTCTGCACAGCGCGTTATCGACCCAGAACATATCGGTTTTTCTGCCGTAATCACTGAATCACTGGACCTTTAATACCGGATCATCGCAACTAGCTAGCTGCAACCAAATGGATGTAGTTGTTGGCTAATCAGACCTGAGCTAGCCTCGAGCCAGGCCCATCTCCCGGCTATCTACCTCTCTGTCAACCGGACGGGACCTCCTAGTGTTGACACGGATCCCCGCCGATCCAACACAACTGGTCTGCGAACGAAATCGTCTGATGTGGTTTCAACAGGCTTCCCGTTACGACGTCGACCACGAAGATCCATCTGCTAGCCCTGGCACGCTAGCACACGCAAGCCATGGCCTCTTGCTCGCCAGTGCTGTAGGAGCCCCCGAACTACCTCCGAACTCTCCTATTGCTGTTCAACGGACCTTATGATAACTCAGCTATACAGCTGATGCCTGCTGCACTGTTCCTTTATACGGTACTGCATCCTATTTATGTTTTGCCTCAGCCCAAACTTTGTTGCCATTACCAGCTGTTGTCTTAGCTCTCTCAAATAACACCTGTGATTGATTTATGCCTCTCTCCCATGTCAATATGCCTTGCTTATTGCTGTTTCGGTTATTTCTTATTGTACTATTTCACTGTAGATCCCCCAGCCCAGCTCAACCTGCCATAGATAGCTCCTTTGTCCCACCCCCCATACATGCGGAGACCGACTAAATCGGTGTCTCAAGTGATGCTATCTCTATCATCGTTACCCAATGCTTAGGTTTACCTCCACTGTACTCATATCTTTCCATATCCTTGTCTGTACATAATGCCCTGAATCTATTCTACAACGCCCGGAAATCTGCCCCTTTTTTTCTCTGTACCCAACGCACTAGAAGACCAGTTTTAAAGCCTTTAGCCGTATCCTTATTCTACTCCTCCTCTGTTTCTCGGGTGATGTAGAGGTTAACCCAAGGCCCTGTAGCCCCCAGTATCACTCCTACTCCCCAGGCGTTATCATTTGTTGACTTCTGTAACCGCAAAAGCCTTGGTTTCTTGCACGTTAACATCCGAAGCCTCCTCCCTAAGTTTGAGTTATTCACTGCGTTAGCACACTCCGCCAACCCTGATGTTCTAGCAGTATCTGAATCCTGGCTTAGGAAGGCCACCAAAAATTCAGAAATGTCCATCCCCAACTACAACATTTTCCGTCTCGATAGAACTGCCAAAGGGGGTGGGGTTGCAATCTACTGTAGAGATAGCCTGCAGAGCTCTATCGTACTATCCAGGTCTGTGCCCAAACAGTTTGAGCTTCTACTTCTAAAAATCCACCTTTCCAGAAATAAGTCTCTCACTTTTGCCGCTTGCTACAGACCCAACTCAGCCCCGAGCTGTGCCCTGGACACCATATGTGAACTGATTGCCCCCCATCTATCTTCAGAGTTCATACTGCTTGGTGACCTAAACTGGGATATGCTTAACACCCCGGCCAACCTACAATCTAAACTAGATGCCCTCAATCTCACACAAATTATCAACGAACCTACCAGGTACAACCCTAAATCTGTAAACATGGTCACCCTCATAGATATCATCCTGACAAATATACCCTCTAAATACACCTCCGCTGTCTTCAACCAGGATCTCAGCGATCACTGCCTTATTGCCTGCGTCCGTAATGGGTCCACGGTCAAACGACCACCCCTCATCACTGTCAAACGCTCCCTAAAGCACTTTAGCGAGCAGGCCTTTCTAATTGACCTGGCCCGGGTATCCTGGATGGATATTGACCTCATTCCGTCAGTAGAGGATGCCTGGTTGTTCTTTAAAAGTGCTTTCCTCTCAATCTTAAATAAGCATGCCCCATTCAAATAATTCAGAACTAAGAACAGATATAGCTCCTGGTTCTCCTCAGACTTGACTGCCCTTGACCAGCACAAAAACATCCTATGGCATACTGCATTAGCATCAAACAGCCCCCGCGATATGCAACTTTTCAGGGAAGTCAGGAACCAATATACACAATCAGTTAGGAAAGCAAAGGCTAGCTTTTTCAAACAGAAATGTGTATCCTATAGCACTAACTCCAAAAAGTTTTGGGACACTGTAAAGTCCATGGAAAATAAGAGCACCTCCTCTCAACTGCCCACTGCACTGAGGCTAGGAAACACTGTCACCACCGATAAATCTACAATAATCAAGAATTTCAACAAGCATTTTGCTATGGCTGGTCATGCTTTCCACCTGGCTACCACTACCCCGGCCACCAGCTCTGCACCCTCTGCTGCAACTTGCCCATGCCCCCCCCCCCCCCCCCCCCCCCGCTTCTCCTTCACACAAATTCAGACAGTTGATGTTCTGAAAGTGCTGAAAAATCTGGACCCCTACAAATCAACTGGGCTAGACAATCTGGATCCTTTCTTTCTAAAATTAGCCGCCGAAATTGTCACAACCCCTATTACTAGCCTGTTCAACCTCTCTTTCGTAACGTCTGAGATCCCCAGAGATTAGAAAGCTGCCGTGGTCATCCCCCTCTTCAAAGGGGGTGACACTCTAGATCCAAACTGTTACAGACCTGTATCCATCCTGCCCTGCCTTTCGAAAGTATTTGAAAGCCAAGTAAACAAACAGATCACCGACCATTTCGAATCCCACCGTACCTTCTCCGCTATGCAATCCAGTTTCCGAGCTGGTCATGGGTGCACCTCAGCCACGCTCAAGGTCCTAAACGATATTATAACCGTGATCGATAAAAGACAGTACTGCGCAGCCGTCTTCATCGACCTGGCCAAGGCTTTCGACTCTCTCAACCACCACATTCTTATTGGCAGACTAAATAGCCTTGGTTTCTCTAATGACTGCCTCGCCTGGTTCACCAACTACTTCTCAGATAGAGTTCAATGTGTCAAATCGGAGGGCCTGTTGTCTGGACCTCTGGCCATCTCTATGGGGATGCCACATGATGTCGCTCTTGCTGCTGGTGACGCTCGGATCCACCTCTATGCGGACGACACCATTTTGTATACATCTGGCCCTTCCTTGGACACTGTGTTAACAAACCTCCAAACGAGCTTCAACGCCATACAACACTCCTTCCGTAGCCTCCAACTGCACTTAAACACTAGTAAAACTAAATGCATGCTCTTCAACTGAACGTTGCGTGCACCCACCCACCCGACTAGTATCACTACTCTCGGCGGTTCTGACCTAGAGTATGTGGACAACTACAAATACCTAGCTGTCTGGTTAGACTGTAAACTCTCCTTCCAGACTCACATTAAGCATCTCCAATCAAAAGTTAGATCTAGAATCGGCTTCCTATTTCGCAACAAAGCCTCCTTCACTCATGCTGCCAAACATGCCCTCGTAAAACGGACTATCCTACCGATCCTTGACTTTGGCGATTTCATTTACAAAATAGCCTCCAACACTCTACTCAGCAAATTGGATGTAGTCTATCACAGTGCCATCCGTTTTGTCACCAAAGCCCCATATACTACCCACCATTGTGACCTGTACGCTCTTGTTGGCTGGCCCTCACTACATATTTGTCGCCAAACCCACTGGCTCCAGGTCATCTATAAATCACTGCTAGGCAAATCCCCGTCTTATCTTAGCTCACTGGTCACCATAGCAACACCCACCCGTAGTCTGCGCTCCAGCAGGTATATCTCACTGGTCATCCCCAAAGCCAACACCTCCTTTGGCCGCCATTCCTTCCAGTTCTCTGCTGCCAATGACTGGAACGAACTGCAAAAATCTCTGAAGCTGGAGGCTCTTATCTCCCTCACTAACTTTAAGCGTCAGTTGTCAGAGCATCTTACCGATCACTGCACCTGTACACAGCCATTCTGAAATTAGCCCACCCAACTACCTCATCCCCATATTGTTATTTATTTTGCTCATTTGCACCCCAGTATCTCTATTTGCACATCATCTATCATTCCAGTGTTAATTTCGAAATTGTAACTTTTTGCACTATGGCCTATTTATTTATTGCCTTACCTCAATAACTTACTACATTAGCACACACTGTATATATATTTTCTGTTGTATTTTTGACTTTATGTTTTGTTTACCCCATATGTAACTCTGTGTTGTTGTTGTTTTTATCGCACTGCTTTGCTTTATCCCAACTGGCTTACCTGGTTAAATAAAGTTGAAAAAAATAATTAATTAATAAATAATAATGATGTGCAGGGTTATTGAGGTTGGCCGGGGATGGGGGGGGGGGGGGGGGGGGGGGGGGGGGGGGTAGGAAGGGATTTGGGGGATTCGGGGGATGGGGGAGGGTTTGTTAGTAGGGCTCTTTTTTATTTTCTTAGTAGCACAGGATTAAGATAGGAGGGTTTAGTTTCACTTAATGTTTGTTTCTTTATTCATATAGTTTGTAAACGGTGATTGACTACACACTCCAGTACAGTAGGTGGCGGCATGCACCTCTAACGTTTGTTTGCGGACTGCCAAAATATTATAATAGATGAAGAAGCAGCTTCCGGCTGATCGTTTGATTTAGCAGACATTAAATCGTTTGATACGTCGTAAACATATTCTACAAAGTAATGTATTAAAGCTGAATCGTATGGAGGTTGACTAATAACATGGGTATGTGGATACATTGTACTTGGAAAGTGTCTGCTCAATGATGGCTTGAATATAACGTCCTGTCGCCTAAGCTAGGCTAGCTTGCTAGCTAGTTAACGTTAGCGGTTCTAGCTAGCTAACTACTAGTCTAGCTAGCGTTACTTGCTAGTTGTTAGATGATGTGTTAGCTAGCTATTATGCTAAAGTACGTTATAGACGTCTGCAGTATTGTCAATAACTGACTTGTTGTCTTACTTACTCCTGGCTTTATTACAGCAGTAGCTATGAGTTCAACTTGTCCGGGACTGTATTGCGGCAAGACGTTAACAAATGGCTCATTTGATGGAGAATGTGGGGTGAGTAGCTCCACCCAGCTGATTTTCAACAAAAATCATCGATCTGGGCCTGTTGGAATGGCATTATAGCTACTGTAGCACTAGCTATGTTTTGTAACCTTATAGTAGACTATGCCCGCACACTAAAATGTAGTTGAATGATCAGGTATGTCCCAGAGGAGAGAGGACTAACATGCAGAAGATCTGTGAGAAGTGTACAGAATCCCCTGAACTTTATGACTGGCTGTACCTGGGCTTCATGGCAATGCTGCCACTGGTTCTACACTGGTTCTTCATTGAGTGGTACTCTGGAAAGAAAAGGTAATGCCTCACATTCAGGCCAATTTACTGCAGAGGTAAACAATTATGTATTTGGTCATCATAACCCATGGTCAATAGGCAGCAAATTGTGGAATTTACTGTAGAGGTGCTTTTGGAAAGGAGGTTTTTAACTTTGTCCTCTTGTAGCCTACTTGGTAACTCGCGTTAATGTTTCTGATATTATGTATATTTTTCTGCAGCTCCAGTGCCCTCTTCCAACACATAACTGCCCTGTTTGAGTGCAGTGCTGCGGCTGTGCTGACTCTACTGGTCAACGACCCAGTGGGTCTGCTGTCTATCAGGTCCTGCAGAGTCCAGATGCTGTCAGACTGGTACACCATGCTGTACAACCCCAGCCCAGACTATGTCACAACTCTACACTGCACACAGGAAGCTGTCTTTCCCCTGTGAGTAGCCTATGTTGTCCATGTCATGAATTGGACCTATACGCTTTGTACTTGTAGGGGTGATTTCACAGCTAGTCCTGGACCAAACACATGTTGAAATAGCTTTTTAGTCCAGTATCTCTGTCTCGAAACAGTCTCATAATGAACTGATATGAATTGGTAATGAGTTGAACATGTATTTGTAAGTCGCTCTGGATAAGACCGGCTGCTAAATGATGTAAATGTAACAGTTAATCAGCCAGGGGCAATGCGTTCTATTGAAAATAATGAACGACGTGGAAGGTGTATTCCATGACGCGCTAGCAGAGTGGAACTAACCTTCCACTGAGTTGCATTATTTTCCAGAGAACGCATAGAGCCCCGAGTTGATTGTCCCTTTTATACCATGGCTATAATTTAACACATTTGCCGCTACCATCAGTCCTAGCTTGCTATTATGAAAGTCGATTTCAACAATGCCAATAATGTTTTCAATGTGACTTTTGCTTTCAAAAGCTATAGCCATTGAATTCTACTGTGATATACTGTGCGTTATAGGGAAATAATGCACGCTCTAGAATGCTCTTCAAGCCAATCAGAAACGACTATTCAACAATGCCATGGTATAAATGAAATTGGTTGGTATGTTCAGGTTCAGAGCAGTGTGCACACCATCAAGCACAGTGTGATGTGAGCTGTTTTGTTAATTGAATAACATGGCTTATCATATTCTGTGTCCGCAGGTACACTATAGTGTTGATCTACTACGCCTTCTGCCTGGTGTTCATGATGCTCCTGCGTCCACTCCTGGTCAAAAAGATTGCCTGTGGTCTGGGGAAATCTGACCGCTTCAAGAGCATCTACGCTGCTCTCTACTTCTTCCCTATCCTGACAGTCCTGCAAGCTGTGGGAGGCGGCCTGCTCTGTGAGTATGTTTTCAAATGAGGGTCCAGTCAGGTTCGGTCCAGTCAGGTTAAGTCCAGTTTGTATTTAGATAGTATTCATGGTTACATAATTGATTTATGTGAAATGCATTCTTTTAAAGAGCGACTGCCTTTTAAAAAGCAACGGATCCCTTTTAAATGTCCTCTGTGGTATTGATATCAGTCAGAAACAGGTGTTCTAGTGTCAAAATTGACTACAAATGGTAAATAGGATATTTTTGGTCATAAAGTCAGTGTCGTCTAAAACAGAGTTTGGAACATCCGTGCGTCACAACTGGTAAATTAAGGTTGGGTTTTGATTTGATTTTATGATGTCCATTGGCCCACTAACATGGGGTGAACAGCTGCGGTGATTGCGCTCTATCCAATAGCATAGACAGTGAGAAGGACCTGCCCAGCAGCTCTGACTTTGTTTACATTAATTTTTTTAAATAATTTTATTTCACCTTTATTTAACCAGGTAAGCCAGTTGAGAACAAGTTCTCATTTACAACTGCGACCTGGCCAAGATAAAGCAAAGCAGTGCGATAAAAACAACAACACAGAGTTACATATGGGGTAAACAAAACATAAACAACACGTTGCACATTTTGTTACTTGAGAAACACTTCAGTTAAATGTAAAATTGCGCAACTAAAACATCCTTGGCAAAAACATCAACATTAATTAGATTTCTTGAGCTATCTTAGATTCATTCTGGGGATTTTGAGGAAGTGAAATAGGCTTAAAGGAGTGGGGCAGGCAAATGGAATCGGTCAGGAAAACACGCCTCCAAGACTGAAATCTAATTTGTCTAATTAGCAACATAAAAACACACGTGCCAATCGGCATGTTCAGTCACTCTTGAAGGCCAGAGGTCTTGTGGCCTTGGAAGCCCAGGATTCTCATGTTCTGTTCGAATGCCTGGGGAAGTTCTATTCAGGAAGACTATAAAACAATGTGTGGAGGACGGTGGAGTCTGCATGGAAACTAGTGGCACGTGAGAGTAGCTGAACCAGGCATACATGGATGCCATTCGACCTGGGTTCAAATCCAGCCTTTTGCCCTTTGACTCACCCTCCTATCTTCCCAGTCTTTCCAATACTTTACTAGCTCTTCAAAAAGTTAAAGAAATACAAAACTAGATGGCCTGCCCTACTCCGCCCCACTTCGCATGGGTGGAGCACCAAAGAGTTTGTTTCTGAAGTTTTCTGACTTGCAACAAGCTAGCATAAGATACAACATTTGGTCTGACACGGTAGGAATAGATACACGGACAAATCATGGAAAAAAACTAATACGGGAATGCCTCTCCAGAGGGGAAACATAATTTTTGCACAGAGCAAATCAAATGTGAGTGTTAACAACCAACCATTCAAAAGCAAAATACAAAACTGAAGTTCTCCAGACTTCCAATAGTCAAGCATTTGGAAGGAGGGCCTGGCGAGACTAGAGGTCTTGCCACATGACTGTGGTATAAGCTTGATATTTTCTGTTTATTTCAGATTATGCTTTTCCATATATTATTTTGGTGTTGTCCCTGGTTACCCTGGCAGTGTACATGTCAGCCTCAGAAATACAGGTAAGAAACTCTTGATTTTATACTTACCTAACGTTTGTGATCAACTCAGTCAACAACATTGTATGAGCACATATTCAATTTCCTAAGTGTTTACTCCTATCCATAGTCTTTCAAGAATCTTGTTGCCAAGAAGAAGAGGTTGGTGGTGCTCTTCAGCCATTGGCTCCTTCACGCGTATGGCATCATCTCCATCTCCCGATTGGATAAACTGGAGCAGGACCTGCCTCTATTGGCCCTGGTACCAGGACCTGCCCTCTTCTACCTTCTCACTGCCAGGTTCACTGAACCTAGCCGGATTCTGTCAGAAGGCGGCAATGGCCACTAGAACTATTATAGAGGGATGTGGGGATTAATATCCACCTATCTATCAATTCAGAAGGTGTTGTGCAATAGAGATCTGGACGATAGCCTTTACTGCCTCCTTTGAGGATGGTAGTATGAGGACTGCTAGTATGATGACTGCTGCATGCAGTGTTGATGGCGTGAGTTCATCTCACAGGGAGAAGGAAGATTTGATGATATTTCTGCAACTAAGGTGGGAAAACAATCACCCTATGCACATATGTACAGTGGGGAAAAAAAGTATTTAGTCAGCCACCAATTGTGCAAGTTCTCCCACTTAAAAAGATGAGAGATGCCTGTAATTTTCATCATAAGTACACGTTAACTATGACAGACAAATTGAGAATTTTTTTTCCAGAAAATCACATTGTAGGATTTTTTATGAATTTATTTGCAAATTATGGTGGAAAATAAGTATTTGGTCACCTACAAACAAGCAAGATTTCTGGCTCTCACAGACCTGTAACTTCTTCTTTAAGAGGCTCCTCTGTCCTCCCCTCGTTTCCTCTATTAATGGCACCTGTTTGAACTTGTTATCAGTATAAAAGACACCTGTCCACAACCTCAAACAGTCACACTCCAAACTCCACTATGGCCAAGACCAAAGAGCTGTCAAAGGACACCAGAAACAAAATTGTAGACCTGCACCAGGCTGGGAAGACTGAATCTGCAATAGGTAAGCAGCTTGGTTTGAAGAAATCAACTGTGGGAGCAATTATTAGGAAATGGAAGACATACAACACCACTGATAATCTCCCTCGATCTGGGGCTCCACGCAAGATCTCACCCCGTGGGGTCAAAATGATCACAAGAACGGTGAGCAAAAATCCCAGAACCACACGGGGGGACCTAGTGAATGACCTGCAGAGAGCTGGGACCAAAGTAACAAAGCCTACCATCAGTAACACACTACGCCGCCAGGGACTCAAATCCTGCTGTGTCCCCCTGCTTAAGCCAGTACATGTCCAGGCCCGTCTGAAGTTTGCTAGAGTGCATTTGGATGATCCAGAAGAGGATTGGGAGAATGTCATATGGTCAGATGAAACCAAAATATAACTTTTTGGTAAAAACTCAACTCGTCGTGTTTGGAGTACAAAGAATGCTGAGTTGCATCCAAAGAACACCATACCTACTGTGAAGCAGGGGGGTGGAAACATCATGCTTTGGGGCTGTTTTTCTGCAAAGGGACCAGGACGACTGATCCGTGTAAAGGAAAGAATGAATGGGGCCATGTATCGTGAGATTTTGAGTGAAAACCTCCTTCCATCAGCAAGGGCATTGAAGATGAAACGTGGCTTGGTCTTTCAGCATGACAATGATCCCAAACACACCGCCCGGGCAACGAAGGAGTGGCTTTGTAAGAAGCATTTCAAGGTCCTGGAGTGGCCTAGCCAGTCTCCAGATCTCAACACCATAGAAAATCTTTGGAGGGAGTTGAAAATCCGTGTTGCCCAGCGACAGCCCCAAAACATCACTGCTCTAGAGGAGATCTGCATGGAGGAATGGGCCAAAATACCAGCAACAGTGTGTGAAAACCTTGTGAAGACTTACAGAAAACGTTTGACCTGTGTCATTGCCAACAAAGGGTATATAACAAAGTATTGAGAAACTTTTTTGTTATTGACCAAATACTTATTTTCCACCATAATTTGCAAATAAATTCATAAAAAATCCTACAATGTGATTTTCTGGAATTTCTTTTCTAATTTTGTCTGTCATAGTTGACGTGTACCTATGATGAAAATTACAGGCCTCTCTCATCTTTTTAAGTGGGAGAACTTGCACAATTGGTGGCTGACTAAATACTTTTTTCCCCCACTGTATATAATCTATAAAGCTCCTTATATTTAGAAGTGTTGTAAATTATTGAATGTTATTGTGTTGATGTTTGTGGACACTTGATTGTTGTTGTCTAAGGCCTAAGATGTACTGTTCCTCATTGAGGCTGTTATACATGTTGTGTATAAACATATTCACTCTTTCATATTTTATGCTCAACATCCTTGATTGTTTTAATCTCAGATATCCTTGATTGTTGTTGTGAAATCGAAGATGGTCTCTGGATTGTCCAATAGTTTAAGTTAAGTTCTTGAACTAAATATAATGTGCCAAAAACTCAACACATGCATACGCCCAGAGGCAGATACAATGGTCCATTATAACCTAATATTAATCGTTACAAGTCAAGTGGATGAAGTTTGATTATTTTGCTTGTTAAAAAATGTAATAAATTATATTGCCGTTTCCCTATAAATTCTGTTGTGGAAATAAGCTGTTGAATAGTAAGCAAGTGAAATTGTGAATTCAGTTCATGAATGCTCATATAATGCCTGTAAATGGATAACAATGGACGAGTTTATTAGACCTATATAATTTTTAAACACAGAACGAGGACTTGACTTGCTATAATTTTGGCTATTGTGGAAACTGTCAGAAGTGTTGTTCAAATGACAACTTCTGAAATAAAAATCACAAGTGTGACTCAACTCATCTACTTCCATCTGAAATGACTTTCATTTGTGCTTAGTTTTTGTAACACAAGCATTTCGCTACACCCGCAATAACGTCTGCTAAATATGTGTATGTGACCAATACAATTTCATTTTATTTAATCCTTTGTCTCACTTTAGTTGCTCTGTACTTTAAGTGTAATGTTTGATTTAGTACTGGCCAACAGGAAACTCCTGCCCTTCAGTTCCTCCTGTAGTCTACTGTTGATGTCCCCCAGTTGGAACTTCCTGACGTGGATCTTGGTCATGCGTTTGTGGATAAAGCCTCCAGAATCTTGTGGTCTCTGAAGATTCCTGAAGTGTTCAATGAGTCATTAGATTATTTAGTGTGGTCTCATGACATACTGAACAAAAATATAAACGCAACATGCTACAATTTCAAAGATTTTACTGAGTTACAGTTCATGTAAGGAAATCAGTTAATTGAAATAAATTCATTACATTTTTACATTTAGCAGACGCTCTTATCCAGAGCGACATACAGTTAGTGAGTGCATACATCATTTTTTATACTGGCCACAACCCTGGCGTTGCAAACGCCATGCTCTACCAACTGAGCTACATCCCTAATCTATGGATTGACTGGGAATACAGATATGCATCTGTTGGTCACAAATACCTTTAAAAAAAGGTAGGGGCGTGGATCAGAAAACCAGTCAGTATCTGGTGTGACCACCATTTGCCTCATGCAGTGCGACACATCTCCTCTTCAATGGCTGTGCGAAGTTGCTGGATATTGGCAGGAACTGGAACACGCTGTCTTCCTGGGCTGGCGTGGTTACACGTGGTCTGCGGTTGTGAGGTCGGTTGGACCTACTGCTAAATTCCCTAAAATGATGTTGGAGGTGGCTTATGGTAGAGAAATGAACATTCAATTCTCTGGCAACAGCTCTGGTTAACATTCCTGCAGTCAGCATGCCAATTGCACGCTCCCTTTAAACATCTGTGACAAAACTTCACATTTTATTGTCCCCAGCACAAGGTGCACCTTTGTAATGATAATGCTGTTTAATCAGCTGCTTGATATGTCACACCTGTTAGGTGGATGGATTATCTTGGCAAAGGAGAAATGAAATTTTAGAAATAAGCTTTTTGTGCATATGGACAATTTCTGGGATCTTGGATGTTGTGTTTATATTTTTGTTCAGTGTAGTGTACTATTGACTTATGAACCACTCAAGTCCTACATTATATTGTTAGATTATAGGAGTAACTCTGGTAGGCCTGAAACAGTCTTCCTCACCTCAAGTTCAACTGTCGGAGTCAGTTGGAGTGCCGGGGCGCACTGCCCTCATATCATATGCCTGCAGTAGCTAAAGCTTAATAATAGCCACACCATACCAAACCTTCAGAAACGTCTCTAAACCTTATTATGGTAATATCAAAAGTAAGTCAAGCCATCGTTTTTAAGGAAAATACGAGCAGAAGAGCGAATGTTTTTTTTGGGACAACCCTACCCTATTTAGGACTGCCCCTCCCCCAGTACATTTCAATCTGTCCCTTATTGACTCAAGACATTTCAGCTTTTCATTTTGAATTAATTTGTAAAAATATCTAATAACCTAATTACACTTTCACATTATGGGGTAGTGTGCGTAGGCTAGTGACACAAAATCTCAATTTAAACAATTTTAAATTCAGGCTGTAACACAACAAAATGTGGAAAAAATCAAGGGGTGTGAATACTTTCTGAAGGCACTGTATCTTCACTAAATCCACTGAAAAGATTTTGCCTGCAAACTTTGGTTTCGAATCGCAACGTTCTGGCATGTCTGCCTCGTGATTTGTTGGGGGAGTTGTCAATCTGAAGAGGACTCTCCCCGGAACATTTTTTTCCCCCTTTTCGAAGTTACCAAGAGAATCCCTCATTAATCGCAGACCTAGTGCTGTTGCTGCCCTAGGTCTAGGATGTTTGAGAAATATACAGTTGAAGTCGGAAGTTTACATTCACCTTAGCCAAATACATTTAAACTCAGTTTTTCACAATTCCTGACATTTAATCCTAGTAAAAATTCCCTGTTTTAGGTCAGTTAGGATTACCACTTTATTTTAAGAATGTGAAATGTCAGAATAATAGTAGAGATAATTATTTATTTCAGCAAACGTTTTGGGTAGCCTTCCACAAGCTTCCCACAATAAGTTGGGTGAATTTTGGCCCATTCCTTCTGACAGAGCTAGTGTAACTGAGTCAGGTTTGTAGGCCTCCTTGCTCGCACATGCTTTTTCAGTTCTGCCCACAAATGTTCTATAGGATTGAGGTCAGGGCTTTGTGATGGCCATTCCAATACCTTGACTTTGTTGTCCTTAAGCCATTTTGCCACAACTTTGGAAGTATGCTTGGGGTCATTGTCCATTTGGAAGACCCATTTCCTAGAGATGAACGTACTTTGGTGCGAAAAGTGCAAATCAATCCCAGAACAACAGCAAAGGACCTTGTGAAGATGCTGGAGGAAACAGGTACAAAAGTATCTATAACCACAGTAAGACGAGTCCTATATCGACATAACCTGAAAGGCCGCTCAGCAAGGAAGAAGCCACTGCTCCAAAACCGCCATAAAAAAGCCAGACTTCCAAGCTTTAACTTCCTGACTGATGTCTTGAGATGTTGCTTCAATATATCCACATACTTTTCCTTCCTCATGATGTCATCTCTTTTGTGAAGTGCACCAGTCCCTCCTGCAGCAAAGCACCCCCACAGTATGATGCTGCCATCCCCGTGCTTCACGGTTGGGATGGTGTTCTTCGGCTTGCAAGCAATCCCCTTTTTCCTCCAAACATAACGATGGTCATTATGGCCAAACAGTTCTATTTTTGTTTCATCAGACCAGAGGACATTTCTCCAAAAAGTACTATCTTTGTCCCCATGTGCAGTTGCAAACTGTCTGGCTTTTTTATGGCGGTTTTGGAGCAGTGGCTTCTTCCTTGCTGAGCGGCCTTTCAGGTTATGTCGATATAGGACTCGTCTTACTGTGGTTATAGATACTTTTGTACCTGTTTCCTCCAGCATCTTCACAAGGTCCTTTGCTGTTGTTCTGGGATTGATTTGCACTTTTCGCACCAAAGTACGTTCATCTCTAGGAGACAGAACGCGTCTCCTTCCTGAGCGGTATGACGGCTGCGTGGTCCTTTGATGTTTATACTTGCGTACTATTGTTTGTACAGATGAACGTGGTACCTTCCTTGGAAATTGCTCCCAAGGATGAACCAGACTTGTGGAGGTCTATCATTTGTTTTCTGAGGTCTTGGCTGATTTCTTTTGATTTTCCCATAATGTCAAGCAAAGAGGCACTGAGTTTGAAGGTAGGCCTTGAAATACAACCACAGGTACACCTCCAATTGACTCAAATTATGTCAATTAGCCTATCAGAAGCTTCTAAAGCCATGACATCATTTTCTGGAATTTTCCGAGCTGTTTAAAGGCACAGTCAACTTAGTGTATGTAAACTTCTGACCCACTGGAATTGTGATACAGTGAATTATAAGTGAAATAATCTGTCTGTAAACAATTGTTGGAAAAATTACTTGTGTCATGCACAAAGTAGATATCCTAACCGACTTGCCAAAACTATAGTTTGTTAACAAGAAATGTGTGGAGTGGTTGAAAAACGTGTTTTAATGACTCCAATCTAAGTGTATGTAAACTTCCGACTTCAACTGTAAATAAACAAAAAATACAGTCCGTAATACACTGCTCAAAAAAATAAAGGGAACACTTAAACAACACAATGTAACTCCAAGTCAATCACACTTCTGTGAAATCAAACTGTCCACTTAGGAAGCAACACTGATTGACAATACATTTCACATGCTGTTGTGCAAATGGAATAGACAACAGGTGGAAATTATAGGCAATTAGCAAGACACCCCCAATAAAGGACTGGTTTTGCAGGTGGTGACCACAGACCACTTCTCAGTTCCTATGCTTCCTGGCTGATGTTTTGGTCACTTTTGAATGCTGGCGGTGCTTTCACTCTAGTGGTAGCATGAGACGGAGTCTACAACCCACACAAGTGGCTCAGGTAGTGCAGCTCATCCAGGATGGCACATCAATGCGAGCTGTGGCAAGAAGGTTTGCTGTGTCTGTCAGCGTAGTGTCCAGAGCATGGAGGCGCTACCAGGAGACAGGCCAGTACATCAGGAGACGTGGAGGAGGCCGTAGGAGGTCAACAACCCAGCAGCAGGACCGCTACCTCTGCCTTTGTGCAAGGAGGAGCAGGAGGAGCACTGCCAGAGCCCTGCAAAATGACCTCCAGCAGGCCACAAATGTGCATGTGTCTGCTCAAACGGTCAGAAACAGACTCCATGAGGGTGGTATGAGGGCCCGACGTCCACAGATGGGAGTTGTGCTTACAGCCCAACACCGTGCAGGATGTTTGGCATTTGCCAGAGAACACCAAGATTGGCAAATTCGCCACTGGCGCCCTGTGCTCTTCACAGATGAAAGCAGGTTCACACTGAGCACATGTGACAGACGTGACAGAGTCTGGAGATGCCGTGGAGAACGTTCTGCTGCCTGCAACATCCTCCAGCATGACCGGTTTGGCGGTGGGTCAGTCATGGTGTGGGGTGGCATTTCTTTGGGGGGCCGCACAGCCCTCCATGTGCTCGCCAGAGGTAGCCTGACTGCCATTAGGTACCGAGATGAGATCCTCAGACCCCTTGTGAGACCATATGCTGGTGCGGTTGGCCCTGGGTTACTCCTAATGCAAGACAATGCTAGACCTCATGTGGCTAGAGTGTGTCAGCAGTTCCTGCAAGAGGAAGGCATTGATGCTATGGACTGGCACGCCCGTTCCCCAGACCTGAATCCAATTGAGCACATCTGGGACATCATGTCTCGCTCCATCCACCAACACCACAGACTGTCCAGGAGTTGGCGGATGCTTTAGTCCAGGTCTGGGAGGAGATCCCTCAGGAGACCATCCGCCACCTCATCAGGAGCATGCCCAGGCGTTGTAGGGAGGTCATACAGGCACGTGGAGGCCACACACACTACTGAGCCTCATTTTGACTTGTTTTAAGGACATTACATCAAAGTTGGATCAGCC